ATTGGCGGCCACTATGCTGATTCTTATTTGAAACGTAACAAGAAAAACTAAACCTTGGCCCCAAACTTAGTTTTAGCTAAAGTTATCACATTGAGAAAAGACATTTCATCATCAGACTCTACAATTATTGTTCTATACTATTCTTGTATAAGTATTTATTTTTATTTTTTTTTTTTTCATTTAATTTAAACATTATGTAAAAGATTGCATGCGTTCATATTTGTTGAGAAAAGTATGCCAACTCTCCAAATGTGGGACCATAAGGCAAAATCATAATAAATTGCAAGTTGGCAATATTGTGGTAAAACTTATTTATCTCTATTTTCTTTAAAACACTTACATTTTTACTTTTGATTTATTGATTTATAATATATTTAATGAGTCCCTAAACTGATTCTATTCTCAATGTGTTGGTATTAAACAATATTGACTGATATGATCTAATATCATATTCATATTTGTTTTCTTGAATTATTTAATGGTCCAAAGTATTAATTGAATTTTATTTTTTATCTTCATTATTTTTATTATTATATATATATTTTTTTTTTTTATTTTTTTTAAATATATATTATAATTACTTGAGAATTATAAATTTACCTGACATTTTTAACGTGTTTACAATCTTTTAGTCTTATATTACAGAGACACCAAAACAAAACATACTATTGAAAATAATATCTTGACATGTCTAAACATTGATATCTTATTATTTAATTATAGTTAGATTCCATATTTGTACCTAATCATTACGACAGGTTTTAGATTTTTCTATTCCACCCCTTTTTTTTATGTATACATATAATCTGAATTCAGTTAAAAGTTATAAATTATTTTTTTATACGCAATCTGCTGGAAGTCGCAAACATTTTGATTTATTGATTAATTAAATTTAATAATATATATCTATTTAAAATCTAATTCTTAACATAATATTTCATTATTTTCACAGTAACATCAGATCTATTGGATCTGTTATTGATTTTTCAATTCAATATTATATTTATTTATTATTTTTATAGATGTATAATTTATTTATTATTATTTTATATTTACAAACTACTTATATATGTTTGTAGATTTGTTTAAACTGTGATTGTACGTTTTAATATGAGTGATGGATTAATCCTAAGCCAAAGTGGATCATATCTTAAAACGCTTATTCAGTCTTAACAAACTTTACCTTGGTTTAAAATTTGTAGTTAAAATTAATGGCAACTAGAAAAACAATAATAATATGTTTTGATTCAATCATCCTAATTTTTACATATATATTATATAATATTAAGACTGCATAAGTACAATAAGGTATGCAATTTAAATTATATGTTTATGTATTACTATTATTATATATATAATTATTTTTTTTTTCAAATCCTTAATATTGTTTTTGTAAAGAAAATTAATATATTTTTTTTTTCTTTTATTTTAAGGCTGATTAATTAACACACTTTTCATACAGTCAAAATAAATTTTAAAAAAATAACATCTTAGAGTAATCTGTTTTTTATTTTGTTTATGTATAAATCATTTTTTTGTATGTTACTTCCCCATCAACTGTATTCTTTTTTTTTACATTCATTATTTTTTTTTTTTTTTTGTATATGAACTGAGTTCAGGCTTAGTACAAAGTATGTTCGTTACAACCTTTTTAATGTTTAATGTGCATATAAATATGTATCTGTTGATGAATTTTTTCTAGTTTAGAAGAAGTCAGTTACATTTTTGTCATAATAATATTTTTAAGTGCCTTTTTTGTGTTACTTTATAACACATCTTTTTGAAAATTAATTTTGACTTGCTATTCTTTTATTATTATTTTGTTTAACAATTGTATGTCAATTTGATTTCTTTTTTCCCTAGTTATTTATTTTTTTTTAACTTGTTTTAAAAATAAAACTTGAAACTTTGAACATATTGTTATACTAATTATTCAGTCTGCAACATATTATATTTTATATACATTATACTTTTTTTTTTTTTTACATTAAATATAAATATTTTCCAGTTAAAAGGCTGACTAGTATATCTCTTTATTACAAACATTTTGTTTTTCCAATATTTAATTACATATTATTCTATGATGATATATAAATTGTCAGATATGATAAACCTTCAATCTTCATCAATCTTTTTTTTATATTGTTATTTTGACATCCTTATGTTATTTAATTATTAAAGCATAGAATTATAATTAACTACAATAACTCTAATGTAATAATATTATTATTACTGGTTATGTTCTTGTTCTTTGCTATTTAACATAAGTATAGAAAATACATCGATGGTTATACTTTTTGTTCTATTTTTATTCATCATTTAGTTGATATAATTTTTTTTTTATAAACACTTATTTTGATTTCTCAATTATAAATATATAAAACGCCTGTATATATTTTTTTACTTATTATAAAATATAAAATATAGTATTATTAATATTATTTTTTGAAGTAATTGTTCATTGAAATATTGTAAACTATAATTATTATTATAGAATAATAATTATTTTTCTTTCTTTTTTCTTGATAATTTTCTCTTTATATTTTGTATTTTAAAGACAATTATTATTTGAGAAATATATTTTACATTACTATATTAATAATATTATCCTCTGTATTTTTTTTTACTTAATAAGTCCAAGTCTGATGTGTTTTTTTCTTCTCACTCACTCTCTCTCTCTCTCTTTCTCTTGAGTTCATTTTAATAAATGTGTTTTCCTTATTACAACTAATATAAATATAAAAACACCTCTGAACTGCAGAACTCAGTCAAATTGTCTTCACTATTTTTGTATTATAGAAATATTTTTATAAATATGAATTGTAAAAATATAAAAATATGTATGGATATAATGGTAGTGACGGGAATTAATAGTTGTAACCCCCAAAACACATTGTTAACATTATACAACATTTTCATCGGTTACATCTTCTAAAGTTATTATTAAAAATAAATAAAAAGATAAGTATAAGTAAATAAAATATAAATTGTATTCACCATGTATTATTGCTATGTAATTAATATTCTCACATAATCTTGTATGAAAGTACCTACCTAAAGGAGTACATTTTTGAAATTAACTAAAATATTATTATGTAGGTACCTAGGTACTTTTTAAAACAAATTGTTCAACACTGAACTAAATGCTTTTATTTTAACTTACTTCAGCAACTATAAGAACTTATCAAATACAGTGTACACTACACTTAGGGTCATGTATCCAAACACTAATAAAGAAGTTATAAGCAAATAAACTTATAACCTTTAAATACCTTTCAATGTGTATTTTAATCAAACCGAGGTAAAAGAAAATATTATGGTACCTAAGTCACTGAAAGAACTTTGTTTAAACCTTTTTCCAAAGTACACATTTATATTTCAGAAATTAGTAGGTATGCATCTTGTAAAATATGAAATTATCCTAGTATATAATATTATCCATGTAATAATCCTGGTAGAAGCATTAAAATACAGGAATGCACGCATGCATCATATGCATTGTGCCTTCATGAGTGTAACATTTTGATTATCAGTGGCAAATTATATTTTGAATAAATGGTTAAGAAAAGTAAAATAAATAAGTCTAATTTAAACAAATATTGTAGTGAAAAAACTTCGAATATACCTGTAATATTATTAAATTGTAAAATTTTTTTATTGATCGACGCGCTACTCTCAGAATTTAAATGATCAATCGATTTTATTTTTTTAAATTAGGATCAATGCAATTACATTTTGAAAAATATTATTTTTCAAGAATAATATTTACTGCCTTATGGACATTTTTTTGAAAAGGTTTTATTACAAATATATCACAAAGAAAATCCTTTTGAAAAAAAAAATAGATCGGGAATTTAAAAGAATTTTAAGAATCATACACTAATTAATACTAATCAAATTTTAGTATAATGTCAATATATCAATGGTGAATATACAGAAATTCATACTATTTTTTTGTAATACTTTGTTTTCTTGCTTCAATCAATATAATAAAATAGACCATGTCTAAATTACGATGTCATAGATATTAGATCATTAGATTATTAGATAAAATGTGTTTTACCGATTCGATTGGTAAAGTGATTACTTTAAATTAAATAGGATCATAGAAAAAGATAGCTTAATATCTGTTTTGGGCAAGTTAGTAAGTTTTGGATACGATACTATATTTATTCAAAATTTTAGTTTGCAGATACCTAATCAACATGTTATTTACGTTACGACTACTCAAATTTAATTCCGCAATAGCCGTGGTTTTTACTGATTTACACTATCATGTGGATTTATGTGAGGGGGCTATAAAACAGCCGAAGTGTATTTTAGTCAGAAATATTTCAACCGACCATATTTAAGCCGAACATGAAATTATCAGAAAATATTCAAGCCGAAAAATATGGCTGACGGTATTATAATGTTTATAGGATAAACACGCAACGGGTGCTGATACGTACGCACGATAGACATTAGTCTCCTTGGCACTCGTTAATAACGAAGTCTTGAATTCGTAGTACTCGTTTATCATGCAATAACTCTATCTAAAGTATATAATCTAAAGTTCAGCTGTTTCGGTTGCTTTATTTTATGCGTTCTCGATGTATGATAAGTGGTTATTAATTTTCGAGCGATTTAAATTCAGTAAAATTTGTACCTAAATATAAAGTTTATAGTTTCATATGTTTTTTTCGCAGAATACATCAGCATAGATGAGTTATAGATAGCAAAATGACGTTTTGTCCAATTTTTGTTTTTCGGCATTTTGTCGATTTTATCTCGTGACTTTATGTCGAGTGATTAAATGTCTGATGGCTTTTTGTCGTTTTTCGTTATAAATCTATGATAAGACCGTGATTATTATTGTTATTTGTTTACACACAGATTTATAATATATAATAGTATTATATTATACCTATCTGCGTGTTTACATCAAGGTGGATTAATATTTAATATTAATCAAACTTGGTTTACAATGTTTACATTTATTCTTATCACATACCAGAATGGCTATCATCGTATTTCCGTTTTTGATTTATGATAATATATTATGAATTCAAATTTGTTCTGAGTTTTCACTTTTCCGGATTGTTTTCAATCAGATTAGTTACACATTTTAATTAAAGGTATACTATTTTATCAGTCAACTCTTTACATATAGTAGGTAAGTCAGAATTATAATTCAACTATATTTATACATATTTAACACTTTATCCGAATAAATGTTCTATTTTCAATGATTGTTTGGTTTATGTAGAAATGACTTCTTCTACGATTATAGTGCGTCATTTGCCGCCACAATTGTCGTCTGAACAAAAAGAAGAATTTCTACGGTTTTTCGGTGCTAAGTACGTGAAAATATTAACATCCAAAACAACTGAGAAATGTACTGCATATGCCAGGTATTGATTAAAAATATTTATATATATATATATATTTTAAACATTGAATAATGATATAATATTTCTTATTAGATTTGAATCTCAAGAATTCGCTGAAGCTGTCATTCTAAGGTTACATCAAAAAGAAATATTGGGTCATAGGTTGACTCTCGAATTGTCTCCAAATGAACTAGATGTAAATTTAATAGACCACACTCAATCATTACCAGAACCTGAAAGCAATACAGACGAGGTTAAAAAATTACAAGAGGCGTTTTTAAATAAGTTGAATTGTTGGACTACGGCCCTAGATTTGAACCATTCTCCACCCTACCATTTACATTACAGTTATCCTGATCCAAATCCACATATATTGTCTAACATTGCAAATTCATTAGCCTGTAACCGAAAATTCTATTATCAAGTACTGCACTTGATGAATCGCATGAATTTACCAACACCTTTTGAACCAGTTAAAAACATCCAGTACAATTTCATGAAATCTGAGACTGCAGATAAGTGTACAACTACTGATGAAACTGATCCTGAACTTTCTGAATCTGAAATGGAAAGTGAAATTGAAATTGATACACAGGATCATACAGAACCTAAACTATCTTCTTTGAAAAGAAAATTATATAAAGATATGAAACCTAATCGTTTAAAAATTAAAAAGAGTATTGTTTCAGTTCCAAAGAAGCAAAAAATTGAACTGGCCAATGTTTTTGACACTGTTGAATACGAGACAAAAAAGAAAATTGAAGTTAAAGTATCAACAGAACTAAAACCTGTCGAAGGACCCGCTGTTGATACTGAAGGAGGATTTGGAATGATATATTCAACAAAAACTGTGACAAAAAAAGAAGATTTAAACAAATGTGAATCTGATGATGATATAACCAGTGATTGCATTAGTAAAGAAGAATTAACTACAAATAGATTATCAAAAAAAGATATGAAAAATATGTCTATTTTTAAAAATTATTATCCTGGAGCTCCATCATGTAGATTATACATAAAAAATTTAGCCAAAACAGTAGTGGATAATGATTTAAAATACATTTACAAACGATTTATAAAATCTGATGATCTTAAACCGGGTACTATGTAAGTAAAATATTATAATATTCACTTTGAAAGTATATAATAATTAATTTTGTAGATTTGATGTACGATTGATGAAAGAAGGACGCATGAAAGGACAAGCATTTATAACATTGCCATGTGTAGAAAATGCCCAACAAGCATTGAATGAAACTCACGGTTTTATTTTAAAAGATAAACCAATGATAGTACAGTTTGCAAGATCTGCCACAGCTAAATAAGTATTAATATTATAAAATATTATTGTAAAAACTGTTTATTTTGTTAGCAACTTGAAACTTACTCAATTAATTTAAATTCTGAACTTTGAATAAGTAAAATATTTAAATTTTCAAATATTCAAATGTGATAGTATTGATTATTTTGCTACTAATTAAACATGATACATAGATAACAACACAATAATAATACATTTCATTAATTGTGATATTGGTTTCAACTGATTTGTTTTTGTTAAATTTGTTTGTACATCAAATAGGACACTTGTATTTTACCAGTAATATTTTTTTTAAATAAAAATTAATTTATCTTAGGATGGCAGTAATATTGATGAAAGCCTGCATTTAAAATTTTCATATCTACATTGATTTTTTTAAGCAACCTGGGAGACTGGAAAGAATGGTTAAACTTGAAGAATTTGATTCTAATTAGTTAAAAATGTCTAAAATGAACTAGATTGAAGTAAGAATAATAAAATGTTTTAAAAGAAAGTTTAAAACTACATTTGTTTGAAACAATTAGACAAAATTTGGCTGAAATTGATTTACATGATAACTGTCACAAACAATACATAGAATAACATAAACAGGTCCATAGATGATAATTTTTTTTTTTTTACTTTAAAACATTTAAACCTGTTAAAGTCACTGAAACAAATGTACTTAAATTATTCAAGAAATATTAACAATAATTGTTCTCCATACCTTTAATTGAATTTTCTTAAGAAATGCAAAAGTTAAAATATGTACAATATAATATAATATAATATAATATAATTATTGGTGAGTATAGGCATAAGTCTTACAATATCAAACTTTTGAGGTTTTAAAATCTATATTTAACCCGATATTTTCAGGAAAATATCTCTAGAATATGAAAAAGGGTTAAGAAATTAAATTTTCAACCAATATAACAGCTTATGAGTGTTTCAATATTTTAACTCATGATTCTCAAATTCAAATATCAAAATATCATGTATCAGAAAACACTCATATTGGCTCACCAACAATTATATAGTTATCTCCTTTAGTGTCCATATAGAAATACTTTAACAAGGGAGGGGCAACTGTTTTAAGAAAAACATGGTCTATAAGTGACCATGCTTTCTAAATTTCTTTGTTCAAATGTAATAATTATTATCATTGGTAATTATAAAATTATATAATTTACAATTGAATGGATGATATACTAGTCATATACTTCTATGTGTTGAGTATACAAATGACTTAAGTTATACTAAATTACAGTATATTTATACTATATTAAGTTATATTTTTTTTTTTTTTTTTATAAATACAATGGAATATTGCTTTAAATAAATTTTGGTGTTAAAATTTTTGTTTTTTGTTTGTAAAAACCTGTTGATGAGATATTTTACTTTTAACTTTAGGTAGTTATGAAATTTTTAATATATGTTCTCATTTTAAAAAAAACCAAAGATAGTATTGTCACAGGATACTCTTTAAATGTTATGAAAAATCTAAGTATTGAAAATATCTGCTTTAACTACACTTAAAAATTCCAAAAATCTAAGAAATTTTTTTATATATGCAAAATTTAACCAAAAAATAGGGTGAGCACACTCATTGAATCACTCTGTACATAGATTTTTTTTTTTTTTTTATTACCTGTATTAAGTAAAAAGTCTAAAACAAAAATGTTTAAAAGAAACCAGTATTATAGTATACATGGTTGCAATTTGTTGTCTAAAGTATAGTTTAATTTGTGAATAAATAGGTTGTTAGGTTATCAAAAAAAAAAAAAAAAAGTAATCTTACTCAAATTTTTTTCTCATTCAAGTTGTTATTATTAACAAATAATGAAATATATACTAACTTAATTAACTAGGTTGGACATTTTATAAATTTAAATACATAACTTCTAGTCTCATTTTATTAATTTATATAATTATATTTTAATAAGTTAGACATTTTGAGTTACTGTCCCAGCTTTGTTCTATAACATATTTTATTACTTAACATTTAAAATATTTGTTTGTTTGTTAATTAGGTAATATTCTCATTGAGAAGTCAGTATAGTAATAGGATTCAAATTTTGTAACAAACAAAAACCAATCATTCTTATGTTATCAGTAGATATTTTACATATTTGTAACTTGAAAACTATAAATAATTTTGTAACCGCTAAAATAGTTTGAAAATTGTTAGAGTGTGCTAATATAAGTATTCTGTAAAAAAATTAAGTCTCCAGGTATTTTACTCAGAATTCAAAAAAAAAAAAAAAAAATTGAAAACAACAGAAACCGTTAGGTATTATACAAATAGGTATTCTTGTTTTCTAATTTTCCCATTATGAAGAAAACTACCAGAAAAATCAAGATTTACTATATTTCAGTAAATTTGATATGATCATTAAATAGATATTGTAAATTAATACCAAGGAACAAATACATTCATCTGTTAAAGTATAAGTTATAACCACATATTTGGTATTTTATGTTTCAATTGTATAAGAATTTAATATTGTATTAGAATACAAATTATGCTCATTTAGAACTCCATTTGTTTAGGTTAATGTAACCAAACCAGAGTTCCAAATACCAATACAGTATAAGGTACAGTGCTGCAAGTCAATAGTTAAATACATTTATATAAATTAAATAATACAAAATAAAGTTTAAAAAAATTCTGAGAGTGATATATGAAGTGAAATTTCTTTTTGTGGAATTAGTGGCATTTTAAACTTTGATGTGGTGTAGTGTGTACTGTAAATACTATAACTATAAGCGTAGAGACTAACACTATAGTCTATACATTTACCCAGTGTTCGAATTGGAAATATAAAAGAAGAGGGACTATAAGGCTAAAAAAAAAAACCGTGCAACTATTGAAGCTAACTAATGGGAGGCTTTACCTCGCACCAATTTTTAAACATAATTCAACAAAAATGTAAGCTAAATTTTGCCTAATAGATTATATGTATTTTAAATTCTACTATAATGATTACTATGATTTCACTATATGTGTTTCTGTTTTTACGTTCTGAATGCAAACAACTTTTCTACCAGAAATCTTGATCCGATAATCAACTTTAGATGTGATGATATATGATAAATATAGTCGTGTCTTTAATGTAATGTGGGGGTTTCTTTGTAGTATTCGTAAAAAAAATGTCAATTTAGAAATTGGATCATGGTTGAAATCGAAATTCTCCAAATCATTACACCAGTAGTTTTCAAACTATTCACTAAGTGTGAATACTTTACTAATTTCCAATACTTTCGGCTTTGCTAAATTATTAAAAAATTACAAAGAAAATTAAAAAACAAATAACTTACTCATGAACTAGATTAAAAATGCAAGAAAAAAAGGTATCTTGTTGTTTATCTATTGAAACAATATTTATGGTATAAAACATTAAAACATAAGTTGAACACACTTATTAAAATAATTGAACCAGTACGCTTTCTTGCCGTAAATATTAATCAATTGTAATTTTTCGGTTTCTCACAATTATAAGGAAAACTACTATGGATATCGAAAAACGACACGCCCTCTCAGTGGCGAAATATTATAAGGTACAAAGTCGATCTCTTGTCATTTCTAGATTGGAGCAATATTTCTGGTAAAAAACATTGTGTTAATACAATAAAAACGGTAACGCCTCAACGCGCCGTAAATATTTGCCGTTTTACTTATAATTTTCTTTTCGGTTTCTCCCGATTATTTCAAAAAACATTTGGAAAATCAAAAAATGACTTTCTCAATGAACCAATGAGAGGAAATTACCTTTCAGAAAAAATACTATAGTTTATAATTCGAAAAAAGATTTCTGCTAGAAAAGTTTGCACATCAAATCGAGGAGTATTTTTAGATTAAAATGGTCCGGGTGAACGATGGTTTGGGTCTCCAAGTACACCCAAAATTCATTTTTTTCCCCCCTGTTTAGATAAAATGCAAACAATTATTTTCGGAACTCCGATTTGAAAATTTACGATCTTTAGGATGGCAACAGGTACCTACGTAAAACCACTAGACTGACATCCAATACAATTGACAATATGTGAATATTGAATTATTTAACATAACATATAATATTCGTACACCTAATATCATAACTTCAAAAAGCTATAACTTCATATATTCAATCATTCATATTGCCAAAACGGGTAATTTTAGATAACAGAGAATATTGTGTATGATAAATAATTGTATTCAAATATTAATTCTCGATAGCCGAGAAGTACCGAACACCAATAAATTAGACTATCGCAATACACATGACTTTATTGTTGTCTTTACTACATATAAATTACTTATATTGGATTTACCTAGACGTGGTTAAATTTCCAAAATCACCGGGTGACTTTTTTTCCTTTTTTTAAATTTTTTTTACAATGATACTTTATTTTTCTTTTTCTTTTATATATACTGCAGACCACGTTTACCCAAGAAAACTGTAGATGTAGAGTGGCACTTTTTCTGAAAATCAATTTTATCTACTTGGTAAATACATAGGTCATTTTTTGATTTTCGAAACTATTCAAAATGAAAACGATTGTACGTAATTTTGATTTGGTAAGTACTCTGTGATACAATTGTTAGATTTAACAGAAATGCTTGACAATTTAACAGAAGATTCATTAAAAGTCATACTTTGTTATAAAAGTAAAAAATTGAGTTTAATGTATTTTTTTTTTTTTCATAAAGGAATTTTAATATCAAATCTTGACTAAAATCGTTAGGGGTACCATGGTAAAAATATGCCGCCCGAATGAAAAATGTACTATTCCCCTCCAAGGTCAATTTGTCGTAGTTATGTCGTCGTCGAAAATAAAAGAGAATCTATTATTTTGGGCAAGTATCCAGGTTAAAAAAGTTTAGTGAACGCAAACAAAATACTAATTCTGAGCAAACGCAAATAAAATCCTATTCTGAGCTAAAAAAAAAATACTATAGAAAATATTACAAGTCCGAATTCAAGGTCACTATGTCGTTGTGTCGTCGTCGAATATTTTATTTTTAATTTTCTTATCTTAAAAGAGATCACGTTCAAGTACCACTTACAAACAAATTAATCTCTAGTACGTACGTGACTTTTTAGACGAAAACGTTTTACCGAGAATATTATCTAAAGTGTATATGAAATTTCATCACGTACTCTAAATAATTATTCCTATATAATACGGAGTGCTCGCAAATGTTTATCAGTACACTGTTAGCCGTTTAATATAACGTTGCAAACAGTTTACAATGTCTATCAATTTATTATGCGAAGAATCTACAATGGAAGAAACTCTGCTGAATATTCGCTCGGAGCAGACGAAAAGGAGCCCATCGGGGAGCGACTTCGCCGACTCGAAAGTCAAAAAACCAAAAGTAGACAAGTCCAACGAAGAGGAACCAGCCCAAATAACCGACAAGGTAATGAAAACGAATATGGAAGAATTAATATTTGCATTGCCGGGAAAATTTGAGTTTAGAAATATCAGTGGACAAAGAAGACTGTATTCAGATAATACAGGCTGTGAATCCGATTTCGGATACGACGAAGACGTTTCCATTATGGACTATGGTTCTGATGATGAGCGTAGTAAATCACCGATTTTTAACGACGAAAACCCCGAGTCCGTTGTTGACGAAGAGGACGATGGAATTGACGCATGTAGAAAAGCAATTGGAAGTATTGGATCTCGGTCAATTGTATCGACCTCTTACAGCGCTTATGACTGNCTAAGCACGTATCAGGAAAACATCGATACATCCATAAAATTGCCGTGCTCAATGGATCTGATGGAGTTCTGGGATGTTTGCAAGAACTGCGAGAGAACCTTAGCAGATTTCCCCCGAGACACTGGTTTGTCCTCACAAGTCATGGAGAACACATCCATGTTATCAACATTTGTCAACGGAAGTTGTCGATGCCGCTGGCTCGATGAAAGTGGGAGGTACCAACGAAACCTTGTCAACGGAAACCGACGGCTCTTCGAGCTGCCGGGCTTGACACGGGGGACTGGAGAGCAATCCTGTGTTACTTATCTCACGACGAGAGGTTCGTCGAAGAAATTGGCGGCTTCTCAGAAAATGAACGACTATATTCTAGATTTAAATATTTATCGGTTAGTATTGATAAACAGAATACTGTATATTTGCGAAAAAAACTTTACTAGACATGGATAGACATTTAAATTTCTTTAAACCTCTTACTTTTAAATGTTCTCCGATAAAAGATAGATATTTTTTGGCCGGTACGCCTTTACACGATTTTTTTTTAGAAGTAGGTCAAGGTAGTTGGTACGAACAATTGCACCGAGCAGAACAAACTTTAAAATTATATAAAAAAAGTAAATATATTTGTATTATTTGTTTTATTCGCCGTCCCTATTGTACCGTAATTTATGAAAAACGCGGCTACTGCGTCGAAAAAAAAATTTTTTCCAGAATTTGGCGGGGCTTATATAGCTAAAGTATTTAATTTGGGAATTCTTTTGTCGACTATACATAATAAATGTTTTAAAAGTCTACAACTTTGTCTTCGTCCACGAATCGATGAATTAATAGTTTTTCTGCGATTTCTACACTGTCGAGAATGTCGTAGTAAACTTCGCTTTTTAACCTATTATACCCGTTCCAATATGGTTTTACTGTAATATCGTTGTAATAACTCTCGAACTCTTTTAAAGTCCACTTGTTTAACCTACTACACCAGTTTCGTACGTCTACTTGAGCGTATTTACAATTTTCTAAAGTTTTATTAACGTTAGGATTGTTTACAAATTCTTTAATTTTTTTATAAGCTTGAGGGGGACAAGTTGGATATTGATAGAGTAATTGTTCTATTGATATCGGTCCGTATTCTTCCGATACCATTTGTTTTCCCCGCTTCCACCTCTTATGTCTTCCGACTTCGGCCCCGCTGTCTTTAGAACCGAGTACATCTCCTCCAACAGACGATTCGCCGTCTTTAAAATCGGGTTTGTTGAGGCACACGTTACACGGATTCGTCTCAAAGCTTCGGTCCAATATTCCGATTTGGCTAAATTCCGCAGGTCTTGTTTTCTACATTATAAATAAAAACACATTTATTATTCAGAATCGCTGTTTATTGAACTAAAATTGTTATAAACATAATCAATAGTTATTTGATTTAAAAATGGGTGATTTTCTAAAAAATAATTAAATAAATCTTCATCACCTTTAAACCATGGATGAATAAAAGAACAAAATTCGCATGGTATTTGTAATACGCTGTGATACTTCCAATCGAAAAAACTCTCATCTAACGCCTTCATACAAATATATTTACTTTTTTTATATAATTTTAAAGTTTGTTCTGCTCGGTGCAATTGTTCGTACCAACTACCTTGACCTACTTCTAAAAAAAAATCGTGTAAAGGCGTACCGGCCAAAAAATATCTATCTTTTATCGGAGAACATTTAAAAGTAAGAGGTTTAAAGAAATTTAAATGTCTATCCATGTCTAGTAAAGTTTTTTTCGCAAATATACAGTATTCTGTTTATCAATACTAACCGATAAATATTTAAATCTAGAATATAGTCGTTCATTTTCTGAGAAGCCGCCAATTTCTTCGATGAACCTCTCGTCGTGAGATAAGTAACACAGGATTGCTCTCCAGTCCCCCGTGTCAAGCCCGGCAGCTCGAAGAGCCGTCGGTTTCCGTTGACAAGGTTTCGTTGGTACCTCCCACTTTCATCGAGCCAGCGGCATCGACAACTTCCGTTGACAAATGTTGATAACATGGATGTGTTCTCCATGACTTGTGAGGACAAACCAGTGTCTCGGGGGAAATCTGCTAAGGTTCTCTCGCAGTTCTTGCAAACATCCCAGAACTCCATCAGATCCATTGAGCACGGCAATTCTATGGATGTATCGATGTTTTCCTGATACGTGCTTAGAAGCAAAGACAGCGGCCAATTCGCCCAACTTGTCGTCAAATTCCTCTTCAGCGCAGTCATAAGCGCTGTAAGAGGTCGATACAATTGACCGAGATCCAATACTTCCAATTGCTTTTCTACATGCGTCAATTCCATCGTCCTCTTCGTCAACAACGGACTCGGGGTTTCCGTCGTTAAAAATCGGTGATTTACTACGCTCATCATCAGAACCATAGTCCATAATGGAAACGTCTTCGTCGTATCCGAAATCGGATTCACAGCCTGTATTATCTGAATACAGTCTTCTTTGTCCACTGATATTTCTAAACTCAAATTTTCCCGGCAATGCAATATTAATTCTTCCATATTCGTTTTCATTACCTTGTCGGTTATTTGGGCTGGTTCCTCTTCGTTGGACTTGTCTACTTTTGGTTTTTTGACTTTCGAGTCGGCGAAGTCGCTCCCCGATGGGCTCCTTTTCGTCTGCTCCGAGCGAATATTCAGCAGAGTTTCTTCCATTGTAGATTCTTCGCATAATAAATTGATAGACATTGTAAACTGTTTGCAACGTTATATTAAACGGCTAATAGTGTACTGATAAACATTTGCGAGCACTCCGTATTATATAGGAATAATTATTTAGAGTACGTGATGAAATTTCATATACACTTTAGATAATATTCTCGGTAAAGTGTTTTCGTCTAAAAAGTCACGTACGTACTAGAGATTAATTTGTTTGTAAGTGGTACTTGAACGTGATCTCTTTTAAGATAAGAAAATTAAAAATAAAATATTCGACGACGACACAACGACATAGTGACCTTGAATTCGGACTTGTAATATTTTCTATAGTATTTTTTTTTAGCTCAGAATAGGATTTTATTTGCGTTTGCTCAGAATTAGTATTTTGTTTGCGTTCACTAAACTTTTTTAACCTGGATACTTGCCCAAAATAATAGATTCTCTTTTATTTTCGACGACGACATAACTACGACAAATTGACCTTGGAGGGGAATAGTACATCTTTCATTCGGGCGGCATATTTTTACCGTGGTACCCCCGGTGAACCCGTTTTTAAAAAATTATGTAGATCAAATCTAATTTTTCAATTTTTTGTTTTGTGCATATGTATATTGCCAATTTAAGAACGACGGTGAAGTCAGAATTGAGCGGACTTACTATGTTTCGAAATAATAGCTTTTTGAAGTTCTGATATACGGATATTATATTGTTAACTTATTATTATAATTGTCAAATTTTAAGCATGGTGAAGTAGTCTAATGGTAATATACATACCTATCTTAAGGATCGTTCAAACCCCAGTTTCGAACTAAATTTGTTTGCATTTTTCCCCCCCTTTTTACCTAAACAAAGAAAAAATAAATGCATTTTGGAGGTTGCTATTGCTCGCTCGGACTATTTTAATCGCAAATTACCCCTCAATTCGTTGTGCAAACTTTATTACCAGAAATCTTGCCAGGATTATCAATGATAGCAGTTTTTCTAAAAGGAAATAATATAGGGTTATCATACTAAATAAAAATATGCTTTGTATGATAAATCTGCAATATAATAAATTTTTTTATTCGGAGTAGAAAGAAAAGACATTTTCTTAGGGAGGTACTTTAAAGTGGTCCTTTTTTGGTTTTCCAACAAGTTTTCCCAGCAAATGTGAAAAATCAGGAAAAAATATGAGAAAACCGGAAAAAACATAAGAAAAATAAGCGAGAAAAATATTAAATAAAAATTATTAAAGAAAATACATTGTTAGAAAATCATTAAAAATGCTTTTAAATACATTTCTACATATTAAATTGATTTTTGTATATTACTGCTTTGAACTTATTGAAAATTAAAATTTTGTATCCTTTTATCATTAAATATCGTGAAATGTGATGTATTTTAATTTAACGAATATAAAACGCACCTTTAAAAGTTATTTGATTTTTAAAAACTTATTTAAACACTTAAAAGTTATTCCAATAATTTTGTTTGAATACCTTTACTTAATCAAGTATTAGCGTTCTAATATTTAACAAGATATTTCAAGCGTCTAGTGTTAGTCCTGTATTTTAATTCAAGGAGTATATTTTCTTTGAGCAGTCTGTATAAAACTGCAGGATCAGAAAAAAAAAACGGTGTAATTTAAATACTCTAGAGCCGAGCCAATTCACTCGCTAAATTCGTGGTTAGAGCAACCAAAAATCTTAATTTCGAGGCGAGCTTCCGTTTATACAACGGTCTCATCATCGATGACGCAATTGAGATAACACCGTATATATTTAGTTAACATTTCATTGGGTTATTGTTTTTTTTTTTTCAATCAAACAATCATTGTCCAGATAATATTTTAATGGTAGGCACGTGAAATGCTGCTAAGTTTCTATCACTTCTATTTTTAAAGAATTGTACTTATTTCCTTTCTGTACTTATTACTTCTATTAGTTTTAATAAAAAACGAGAAACCGCATCCCCGTAAGACATTTCATCGTCCATATTATATTATAAATATATAAAATAATATTTGAAAAAAAAATTGATGCTGGGGATGGGTGCAGCCACTGTTGTAGATGAGAAGTCGGGAAGGTAGGATACATAAGGTTATTTCATTTATATTCATTAACGATAAACCATTGTTTGACGAAAGACGATTCCGAATGTAGTCCGGTTATACATAATTTTTGCGATTTTCGTTTAAATTTGATTTAAAAATTTGGTTTATAAAAAAAAAATCCGACGATTTTGGAAATTTTACCACGTCTAGGTAAGTCTAATTTAAGTGTTATTACCAAGTTTCAAGTCTTTACTTGCATTTATAACCGAAGTATTTTTATAAAATAATGAAATTGTGAAATGGTAAGTTTCCTAAGTTTTTTCACACAAGTGTTTTTATTTAAAAAATGGCATTGAAAATCAAAAAATTACTCGTTCAAAGTACAATTTAGACAACTTCAGCTTTCAGAAAACGTGTTACACGTAAAAATCGGAGCAAGTTTATTAGGAAAAAACGTGTCCGCAAACTAGAAGAAAGAAAAAATAAATATCTTAATAAAACCAATAGCTCCTTCCCTATGTTCAGAATTCTAAAATCTAAAAAACGTTTACAGTATTAATGAATCGTGTTTGTAATATGACTGTCTCCCCATACATAAAATCATACCAACTTAGCCACAGCATAGATAAAATAAAAATATTGAGTATTGCTTTCGTTGCTAAATACTAATTCTACTTATTCTCATAGAACCAAAAGTTCTCAACAGTTTGATAGCTCGATCAATTTTTCTAACAGATTTTTTTTGTTTGTGTACCAATATTGAAGACTCATGTTATTTGTAAACTTCATGTTTTAAAATGTTCCGATACATAAAATATCAATTTTGTCTGCCTATACAAATATACAATTGTATTCCCATATTGATACAACTTTGTACACTTGACATTCAAAACAAGATAAAGATTAGTACTGTTGAACTAGAAATTCAATCTGGTGGCTGAAGTTGAGTTTTTGTATTTTTGGATCGAATATAAAATTTCTTTGTTACCAAAAATAGTGTAGACATATTAAATTAAATTTTATTTCTGATAGAATTGAACCAAGGTAATACAGCAAGTGTATGAATAAAAATGAAATTAAAAACTGTATAAATAATAATATATTGTTAGCAAAATGATATCAATAATACAAACATTTATATTTTTTTTTTTTTGAAAACCGAATACTATTGGTAACTAAGTACTAAATGTCTTAAGAATTATTTTATATTTCACACAGAAATAAGTAGCTGCTTAAAATATAGATTAGTCAGTATCGAAACTTTAATTTACTAAAAAAACATTATTCTTTAAATATTTTTATCAAGGTATAAAACTCTGAATAACACAATAAATTAAGTTATTTCAAACATAATAATTATTAAACAAATTTTAACATATCAATATTATTAAAAAAATTATAACATAGTAATATTATTACAAAAATTATAACATAATAATATTAATACTACTAAAAGCAAATAAAATAATATTCATGTTATTTATACTAGTTAATTTAATGGTTCTTATTTAAAAAATAATAATACGTTTAAAAAGGGATAGTAATACTTACATAATAATAATAATTATCATTAAAAAAAGAAAAATACACTTTTAAAATAAATGTTTAATTACAAAAAACTATTTGAAAATGTTCATTATATTATGAAAAATTTAATTGTATTATAGCTGCCAATAATTAAAATAATGTATAGGTATTTATTCATTTAGCCAGTACTAAATCAGTCATTGAGGAAAATTGACACATTTAATGACAAAAAAAAAAGCACAATCTTAATACAAAAAACATATTAGTTATACAAAATATCCTTTTGTATTAAAATATTAATGTAAACAATACAAATTGTATTGATATTATATACTCTACTGAATGGCTGAAGTTAATTTTATTGTATGATTTTTCATAATACAAGGATATTATTACAGGCAAGTATTTTGCAATTCAAAAAGTAACTAAAATTTAATGAACGAAAACATACATGTAAATATTATACAAACAAAAATTATTAACATGCTACAAAAGAAAAAGAAAATTTTTTATACAATATAGGGCATCTATGTATAAAATACAAAAAGTAAAAAAAATACCTACTGGTTTTTAGTCTTACACTAAATACAAATTGTTTGGCTCAGAGTTATAGTTCTAAAGAAAAGTATTAAATATTTGAGTACTTAAATTTTAAAATTATTTGGCACATCAAATAAGAACAGCTAAGATCTTTATAATTTTATCAGTCATAAAAAAAAAAAAAACAGGTAAATTTTAATTTAAAAAATTAATAGTCTGCAAGTTAAAATTTTTGCTATCAGTTTTTAAAAAAGACCACAATCTTTAAGATTATTTTTTATAATTACATCAGTTACAGCATCAAAAACAAATTGTATATTGTTTGTGTCTGTAGCACAGGTAAAATGAGTATAAATTTCTTTTTGTTCTTTTCTTTTGTTTAAACTTTCAAATTTCATTTGTATGTATGCAGCGGCTTCTTCATAATTATTAGTCCCTGAAAATTATATTTTAAAATTTAAAATATATTTATGTCAAATTATATGGAAATAATATTTTACCTGTGTATTCTGGAAAACAAGAATTTAAAGGACTCCTTCGTATTTTTTCTTCAAACAAATCTTTTTTATTCAAGAACAATATGATTGAAGTATCAACAAACCATTTGCTATTACAAATTGAATCAAACAGCTTCATAGATTCAATCATTCTATTCATTTCTTCATCTTCAGCTAATACTAAATCATAACCTATAAATTCAAAATATATTTAGTTAAACTGAAATACATTCTTTTATACAATTAAGTTTAAGTTTATTAACCTGATAATGCAACACAAAATATAATAGCTGTAACACCTTCAAAGCAATGAATCCACTTTTTTCTTTCTGATCTTTGACCACCAACATCAAACATTCTAAAATTATTTTTAAAAAATATAGGTTAATTTGTTTAAAACACTGAAATTTATCACTTACTTGAAGTTCAACCCTTTAAATGAAAAATTAGTTTCTATAATACCGGTTGTTTTCACTCTTGTCCGTAGCACATCTTGTTGTGTAGGTACATAATTTGGTAAAGATATTCTATCTAATGCATTTAGATAATAAGCAGCAGAATCATTTAGTTGATATTCTCTTGAACGCAAAAAGCATTCTTGTACACCGGAATCTGCCCACAGTCTTTTCATAAGTTTAACAAGTTCTGTTGTTAGCTCACCTTCTTCAGTATCACTTGCTAATGAAAAAAATTGACGAGCGTTTTCCTAAAAAATTTTTTTAAAAAATATGAATAATTTTTTGAATAATGTTATTGTAATAATAATGATAAGACTATATTTATATACAGTTTTACTGTAGTCTGAAAATCCAATTTTTAACAGTCCCATTGCTCGTATAATTGCCATTAAACTTTGAATTGTATTACTAAATACAACAGGTCTGTATTGTTCACATTCTTCTTTAGAATAGCCTGTTTCATGAATAATTTTCATTTGTTTTACAATAGTACTTTTTCCTGATTCACCAGCACCTTTATGAGAAGAATTAATTTAATATTAAGTACAAACATTAACAAACAATATTTTTAAGAAAAAATAAATAACTTAAAATATTAATATGAATTATATTAATTCATTATAATGTTTGTCCTTTATTTTCTTTATCTGTGAACAACTTTTCAACCAGAAATTATGCAACAATTTTCATATCATAAGATTCTTTATAGTAGGGTTAATAAATTGATAAAATATATTATCTTTATATGTATTTAATTCAAAGAAAAATTAATAGTTGACGCTACAATATTAATCATTAAAATTTAATCTTTTATTACATACTTAATTTTTAATTAAATTTTTTATTTCAGGAAAAACAATATTAAAGAAAAATCAAAATATTCTTATATTTTTTTTTAATGCAATAATTTGTATAATATTCTGTAACCTATTAAATTGTTTTTTTTATAAAACATTCTTGTGTGTTTGAACCCTCCCTTTACTTTTCTAAAGTTGTCCTATCATATGAATAATACATAAAATAAATGGGTGTCCAAAATTGTAACATCAGACAGCTATATGAGTATATGCATATCAAGTTAGCAGAATCGAACATTTTAAAAATGTTTTTCTCATAGTATGTTAGGAGTATTGCTACTTAAAAATTGACATCAGAATAATTCAAATTAGGCTATAAATGCATTATTATCAATGAATTAACTTAAGGAATGACATATGTTATAAAAGAAACTTTGCTCCAAATCAGTTTTCGTTAGCAATGATTTATTGTTGCGTACAGATATAAATTCCCTTTTATATTATATCTTCCCAACTTCTCACCTACAACAGTGGCCTACCAATAATGTGAAGTATGTCTGTCGTTTAAAAATTATATTAAAATCTTTTAATTCAAGAATCAATACTTAATTAAAAACGCATAATTATTTATATTTTGTGGGTGTTAGGTTAGTTTGAGTTATTTTATTAGGCACATTGCATACAGTTTATCTGTACTTCTAAAAAATAAATCAAAAGTATTTTTATGAAGACAAAAAATTTTAATTAAAAAAATGAATTGTCATTATTAATTAAATATTTGGTTGTTTTGGCAAAAATGTCCTAATGTGTATACATTTTAAAAATATCAAGCTGATAATAGTGTTTCAGAATTTTGTGAGTAATGAGATCATCCAATAAGTTAATTTATAAATATATAGGTACTTCTAACTTTGCTGTAAATACTTACGTTATTATTTAACTTATTGAAATATGTATAAAAAATAATAATCTTGTAGTTTACATATAGTTTAAAATTGTACGATTTTAAAAAAATATGTTTAGTATTTGAACTGCCTATACATATATAATTTATAAAATTGATAAGAACTAATAAATAATAATTATTAGTAGTTTAACTACAAATTATTATTTAACATTCATAGCAATAAAAAATGTATTTTAAGAAGTAATTTATCCCTCCCTTAGATAAGATACCTATTAAAATATTAATGCTTAAGTAGGTATATGAGTTAAAATTGTACAGTTTTAATTAGCACTTGAACGGTAGGTATTGAGATTTATTTTTAAATTAAAAATATTTATAATACTAAATAAGTTTGTGAGTACCTACATTTGAGTTTTATAAACAGAAATAATTAATTTACCTAATTCAAATGTTAATTCTTTGGCACTATTTGTAAAAATTTGATATTTGTTTGACTTATTGAAATACTTAAAATCAAAACACAAATATTTGTGCGTATAAATACATTATAAATTATTCTAATTTGTGTTCAATTTTAATTATCCTGAATAGGTAATATCAAAATCAATTATTTGTAGTTAATTAACTCAGTAAAATAAAAACCAGCCAAATTTACTTTTCTCAGATAAGAAAATTTAGAGCTTATATTACTACTATCGAAAATAACAAAAATTATTTTAAGTCTTGTTGATAATCTAGATCCAAACTATTTTGATTAACTGCAAATTGACTAAAACAAATTCGTTTGGGTCGCAAAAGATAAAAAAAGTTTATAAGTGGTTATTCACAGAATTATTCATCTGACATTTAATTTAGTTTATTTTATTAAATATTGTCATTAAATGTTTCTTATAAAACTGTAATTATGTTTTTTTTTTTCTTTTTGTGCTGTCTATACATAACTACTAAGTCTATATATCTTGTAATTTAACAAATAATTATATACAGTGAACTCTTGTTATGTTGAAAATATGAGATATATATGTCTACTGCGTGTACTGCACAATTTTCTGTTCTTAACGTGAAAAAAATATTATTTGTGTACTCGAAATAACAAAAAAAACTATTCATTTTACATAGAGTTATTGAGAGCAAAACACTATCGAGTGAAATGGTAGAAGATAACATGTAGTTTGACATACTTATATATGGTATAGAAAGGGTATTGTACTTCAAGAAATAAACCTTCTGAAACGCATGTATGAAGTATAATGCTACATGGCAGTGAAATGTGAGCAATTCCCAAGGAATAACAGAGAAGAATAAAATGTTTTTGATATATTGCGCTACAGAAGAATGTTGAAGATAAGGTGGACGGACATAACTAACAAGGAAGTATTAGAAAAAATACAGGAAGGAAGAACTCTATAGAATTGTGGAATGAAAAAAAAAGAAAACAATGGATTGGGCATGTACTGAGAAATGGCGAGTTGCCGGAACCAGTCATTGAAGGGTGTGTGGAAGGTAAAAATGATGGGGGAAAACCACGTCTAAAGTATATGACGTGACAGATAATTAGGGTCTAAGGTGTAATTCTTATGAAGTAGTACAAAGAAGGGCAAGTTAGCAGGGAAGAATGGAGAATTTCTACAAACCAATCCTTGGATTGAATACAAAGAATATATGTTATATAAGTATACAATTAGAATGATAACTTTACTCAAACACAAACTTAGGTTTATAGGGGTAATATATTTATAACTGTTATGTATAAAGTTATGACACGTATGTACTACTTATTATTTATAAGTAAATAAATAAAAAATAATCTACATGAATAGATACAATGTTTTAAAACATTTACAACATTTTAAAATAGAATTTGTTTATTTCATTAAACATCTAATTTTATCACCATATTATTAAATAGTGAATCTATTAAAACAATATGCTACAGGTAGTTTTTAATTTCCATAAACTCAACAAATTTTATAAATAACAAAACATAACCATTACCTTCTACGGATATTATATATTTAATAAAGTGTAAAATATACAAATTTAATTTTGTTATTTATGTACATTATAGTATTTGTAAATTGATGTTTTGGGACCACATCATAGAGTGGTAAATGAGCTATACACACATTTTTATTTGGATAATATTAATTAAAATTTGTGATGCCTACGCACAGGAAAAATAATTGAACAATTATATTACCTACATTAATGAATACAGTACCTTCAAACAGTACCAATTATAACAGATATTATTGAGGTAAAATTTTAATGTACCTACCGCTTAATGTCAACCATCGCATTTGGGTTAAAATTACGGATAGTTAACGGATTACAACTCACCCAACAGCAGCAGTTTAACTTCTCTTGCAGCTTTCTCACCGTCGGCCCGCAATGACTTGTCGATTTTTTTTGATCGTTCCACGGCTTCTTTCTCGTTCGAACTTATTGTGCACCCCATTGTCGCAGGAACACAAAGGAATTTCACAGAGAATTAAAACAAACGACAAACGAACAAATTGGCATTCAACTGATGGTCACGATAATTATTATCGTATTACCCTTAATAGCGGCAGTCGAATTATCAAACACAAACGGCGGTTAAACAAGACAAACCATACCTACAGTAAAAAAAAACACCAACTGGACGGCACTACGGTTTACGATTTTTGTAACAGACGCCTTGGATATAAACAGTCGTTGTTATCAATTAACGTTTTAGGCGTGCGACGTTTGGCCCGCGAAACAAACGGTCCCGATGATAGTAATTGTATTTAGTGTGGTAACAATTGTCCTTGAGCGTTCAATGTTCACGAATAAAACGCTGTTTTCTCGATGACGGCGATCCCATAAAATTATAGCGATAACGCTAAATGGTAACCAAGGTGGATGGAACCACCATGCTGGTAACCTTGGATCATATCACGATTTAAGATAGACTATTTAAAATCGTGGTGTACTGGAATGGATCGTACACAATGTATAGAGCCACAGCCTAGAGATTACATATGATATTAATGATGTATGTGTTACGACGAGTCGCCACTCGCTAGGCGAGTAGCATACTGATAAATTTTTTTTTAATTATATGCGTTTTGAGATCAAATTTAAACGAAAATCGCAAAAATTATGTATAACCGGACTGCGCTCGGAATCGTCTTTCGTCAACCAATGGTTTATCGTTGCTTACAGACATCAATGAAATCACCTTACGTATCCTACCTTCCCGACTTCTCGCCTTCAACAGTGGCCGCTCCCATCCACGGTATCGGCTCTTTTTTTTTTTTAAATATTTCATATATTGTACACATATAAACGCAGTAAAATTTTCGAAATCGTCGGACTTTGTTTTTTTTTATTACTTGTTACCGTGTTCTATTGTTTAAATTCATTAGTTAATTAGGTAAGTATATAGTAAAATAGTTTTAATTGGGAACGTATTAAGTGGTATTACATTATTTTAAAAATGTTTTTGTTATAGGGTGACCAGAATATGTCTTATAAAAAAAAAAAAAAAAAAAAAAAGATATTTTTACAAATTATTGTTCCTTTACTCATATTTGAACTAATACCTATATTTCTTATATTTTCCCGTTTTAGATTCTGAATGAAAACTTATAGTTTTTTACAAAGGTACTCATTTTTTGTTTGTTTTATCTGTTAACAACTTTTCTACCAGCAATTTTGCTCTAACTTTTAATGATAGCAACGTTTCTAAAAGGAAATTTCCCTAGTGAGGTAATTTAGAAAGGTCATTTTTCGGTTTTCTCCAGAGTTTTCCCAGCAATTGTAAATAGTGGGGATAAAAATGGGAAAACCGTAGGAAAACTGGGAAAATTGATAAAACATTAAACAAATTTTATTAAAGAAAATATATAAAGCCTATTTAATTATTTCAGTATAAAATAACATATATATATTGTTGACAAGGCATCACTATCAACTGAACTCCGCTCAGAATCGTTTTTTCGTAAGCAATGGTTTATTATTAATTATCAACAGCTAGTGGCTGCAACCGTCCCCGATTATTCATTATTTATATTTTTTTTTTCTATCTGTGAAAAACGTTCTACTAGAAATTTTTTTCCGATTTAAAATGATAGCATTTTTTCTGAAAGGAAATTTCACTAGAGTGGTACTGTAAGATCATTTTTTGATTTTTCTACGGGTTTTCGCAATAAATGGAAAGAAAATGTTTGAAAAATTTGATGAGAAAATCGAAAAACGACTTCCTCAAAGTATCTTTCCACACCGATTTCCTTTCAGAAAAGGTGCTACACTTAGGAATCTGAGCAAGTGTTCTGGTAGAAAAGTTGTTAACTTATACCTGATGATGAATTTTTAATTCGAAACCTTTCATACAATGCGACGCATTTATCCATTTATTTATTTAATTTAAATATTTGTACATAAACATTTGAATATTTCTAGAATTGCATATTTTTAAAAAAAACGTATTTATTTCAAAAATTATGTTCTTGAATTATTTAAAAAAAAAAGCATTATATACAGTGACGAAAAAAACAATCACATAGTTTAATTCACGATTGGGTATTATCGCACAATTTTTCTTCTTTTTTTTCTTCTTTTTCTTCTTTTTCTTCTTTTTTTCCTTTTTTTTCTTTTTTTTCTTTGATGCATCAGTACTAGTGGGATTTTCGTTAGGAGGGTTTGGGGATTTGGTCGTTTGAGGATTTTTGTTACTGGGAGTGTTTGGGGATTTGGTCGTTTGAGGATTCTTGGTAATTGGGGTGCTTGGACTTTTGGTAATTTGAGGAATCAAGGGAGGTTTAACAATTTGTGGATTTACACCACAATACTCCGAAATTCCCGTTATTTTTGCTATCCAATCTTTGAAAACGTAAACAAATATATGTTTACATTGCTTTTTATCTGTGTCACATGATAATATTTTGTTATTTATAAGGCTCTTGTCAAATAGGGCATCATTAGAGCAAACCCCGTATTGACATCCATTACATATCATTGGACCACCACTGTCTCCACCACATGTTCCTTTTTTACCAATTTCCACACATAAAAATTTTTCGTTCTTGTAACTAAAACAAAGTGTGACATAATGAAGTTTCATAATTACACAGACCTATGAGTAATTAGAACAGAAAATAGATAAGTGTTAAATTATATTTAAATCCAAAAATTTATCTACTTTATAAAAAATTTTGGAGAAGACAAATAAGTGTTGAAAATGAATATTCATATCATTAAATAAGTATGGGGTGAGATTTATCCATAGTCTGTACAACGGGGGAGCAGAGCTGCCCTATTATCTACACATTTTGACTGAGAAAAAAAAACACCTCGTAATAATGGTTTAAGTACCAGCGTACCTACAATATTGATTATTGTTATCTGCGTTTTGTCCGTAAATTATTTCATTGTCGTCAGTTTATCGGTTTGTATTATACATTCATACTTGTTTAATATATTGTATATTATAAACTAAAAAGTTACCCGAGTACCCATCCAGTCACATAAATATTAATTGCTGTTCAAATCAAATAACCATAAGTCCCAACCACCCACCATATTTTGTAATATATATAAGAAATAAGAAGTGATATTTAGTAACAATAACTAGAAAACATAAAAAAAGGTTTTAGTATAATGAGGACGGGCGCAGCTTGCAGGTTATTATAGATAATTTAATGTATTCCTGTAAGCAATAATAAACCATTGCTTACGAAAAAACGATTCTAAGCGGAGTTCAGTTGATAGTGATGCTTTGTCAACAATATATATATTATTTTAGTACGATAGCTATTTTTAGTAAAATGACATGTCAGTACACAAGGTAAGCAAAATTAATTTATATTTCTTATATATGCAGTCCCTATAGCATATTTTAATATAAACAATTAAAAAGTAGGTATACGGTTGGTAAATTTAATTATTTAATTTTTTTAATGGTTGTTTCTGTTAAAGCTGGATAAAGGAGGGTTAATTTCCATCACTTGTTGTACTCTTACATATATAGTATTTAAACAAATTATTTATTTTTATCTGGACATTTTCGCCTATATTAAAATAATTCATGTTAACATTTAGATTTAAATTGATAAATATTGTAAATACATTTTCAAATCAATTCAACGATAAACCATTGCTTGACGAAAAACGATTTTTTTAATTTGTAACCAAAGCGCCAAAACCAAAAAAACCAAAGCGCAGTTTGGTAATACATAATTTGAAGGTCGTTTTTTTTGCGATTTTCGTTTAAATTTGATTTCAAAACACGTTTACAAAAAAAAAGTCCGACGATTTTGGAAATTTTACCACGTCTAGGTAAGTCCAATATAAATATTATCACCAAGTTTCAAGTCTCTACGTGTATTTACAATCGAATTACAGCAAAAAACTCTCAAAATTTACAATTACTTAAAAGCCTAAAAGTGGCTCAAAAGTTTTGACGATGATACCGGAAGAAAGTAAATCAAAAAGGTAACAAAAAAGGTATCTTGTGATTTTTCGATTAAATCATTTTTTCTGGTAGAAAACGTCATCCGTGTTTTTATAAAATAATGAAATCGTGTGAAAAATCAAAAAATGACCCGTTTAAAGTACTATCTAGACAACCTGAGCTTTCAGGTGTTGCACGTAAAAATCGGAACAAGTTTACTAGAAAAAACGTGTCCATAAACTAGAAGAAAAAAAAAAGTAAATATCTTATTAAAACCAATAGCTCATATGCTACGCTCGGAATCCAAATATTATGTAGTGGCATTACATTTAGTAATAATTAAACCTTTAAAAGACGTGATATAATATGGAAACTAAGTAAAATAATACCATTTTATAATATTACAAATATCTATAACGACAAATTATTTTTAATTCAAAGTCGTTAAATATAAACCTATCAATTCAAACTAAGAAATGTTAAAATTTGTTATATTTACTTACATGTCTTGCCAAGTATAATAAATGTTGACTAAATGTTAAATTTTACAATTAATCTTATTTGTCATTGTAGGCATTTGTAATATAACAAAATGGCATTTTACTTAGTTTCCATATTATATCACGCCTTTTAATGGTTTTATCATTACTAAATGTAATGTCACTACATGATTTTTTTTTTTTAATTTAGCTTTTTTGTACACTGAGTTATAACGAAGTGTTTTGGTGTGATATCAGCTATTTTTATAAAAAAAAAAAAAAGTCGCTATGTTATTTGACTTTGTTAAACCTAAAGATGGATTTTAAATTGGAAACCGTTCGTTAAATATAAACTTAACAACTGAGGGTCCGGCGTCGTTGACACTCGTACGTCGTCTTTGTCGCAGCAACGTGAGTAGCGGGATGAATAAGCGGCGGATCGGAGGACATACGAGTATTATATTTTGCGTGGTCGTCGTCGAAGTAATGAGAATAGATATTCTACGATAGAATACTTGAACATTTTTGGTTATAACTTTTAATCCATCTAACCAATCTGCTTGCGAGTTCTCCTGTTCCCATCCAGGGAGGGCCTAAGGGTCGCCCCCCTAAGCCCGTATTTTTGTTAAAAATAACTACACAAAAAATATAAATCATATCAATTATTGCAGATACGTACAAGTGTGTAGTTATCTGTATAATGTGAGTTATCTACTTACAATCTATACTCTACGAAGTATAAATAAACTTAACATAAGTTTTTAATAGTTTTTTGAAAAATATGGTTTGCCCCCCCCCCCAACCAAGTCTCTAGAGCTCATATGTTCCAATCTGCACAATATTTCTGATCGAATGATACCTTATATGACCTTATATGTTTAGCCGTTTGTTTTGTAGAATTGTCCGATGGATTAACACAAATTAGCACGGTTTTTCAATGGTAAAATTCTGGCTCCTGTTAATATACGTTCGCAGCTACTACGCTTTTTTTTTTTTTTTTTTTTTTTTACTTAGGTCGCGCTGGAAAGTATAGTTTTTTATAATTATATAACTACTGTAGTCAATGATTTCTTACTGAAAAAAGAATATGTTGATACCACCGTTATCATAAGGGATACATTTAAGGAACACGGTTAATAAAATCAAAACCTATTCATTACTACACAGTAGTGATGCGTGATTTGCGTTTTTTTAAAAAATTATTACTTACATATGTTTGTTAAGGCCGTCAAAACATTTATTGGAGTCATAATAGACCATAACATCTGCCATTTGTCCTCGCAAACTCTTTTTTGGATCTGGTATTTGACTTGTCAAACCAAATCCAATGAGTGTACAACTTACTCCTTTTTCTCGAATAAACTCTCCAGGGTAACCGCCTATTCTTGCAAATGTATTAGCTTCTTGGATTGGGTCGTTTAACTTTGTTAACAAAATTTTATAGTTAAATTAAATTGTATTATTTTATTATAGTTAGATAACAATATTAATAAAATAAACAAATAATAATATAATATGGGATTATTAACACTGAATTTGGACCCTGACCGGTTTAAGAGATTTGAGATACTGTATACCATTATAACAGTTTTAATGGAATACGTATACAGGAGAATTATCATGTCGTACACTCATTACCTCGGAAATTATTGACCATTATTAGACATTCGATTTTTGAAAACTTTAAGAAACGAGTATTCTTTAGGTGTTTACATAATTGTTATTTTTGGTCACCCTAAAATAATTAGGGGGTGAAATCACTACCTATTTTTGATTTTCATAGAGCTATGTATAAAAAAAAGAGCTGATACTGGGGATGGGAGCGGCCACTGTTGTAGGTGAGAAGTTGGGAAGGTAGGGTATATAAGATTATTTAATTTATATCTGTAAGCAACGATAAACCATTGCTGACGAAAGACGATCCCGAGCGCAGTTCGATAATACACAATTTGAAGTGCCGTAATTTTTTACATAATCGCTAAAACACAACTTAACTATTGAAATAAATATTTTATTAATAACAGTATAATCATTATGCTGATAAAAAACCGATTGAGTCAAAAAGTGTACCAAAATGTAACAAAAAAGGAGGAGAATTCAACTATTATTAGGTATTAAAAACTAAATTAACAGTAATTAAAAACATTTACCACATTCCGAATAATAATAAGATTGTATAACTTACGTAAGTTAGGAAATTTTGTATTATAAGCTAGGTCGAAACTAGTGGTCGAAACGCGTGAAACCAAATACCTTCCCGACACAGATGGGCCTGTAATACAATTCTGTACCGAAATATGCTGTGGCTCTTTAGTTTCGGCACACGGACCACACCGGCCGTGTTCTAATTTCCAAATTGAATACGAATAAACAATACTGTTGTGAGAAGATGTCTTGTTTATAATATTTAGACACTATGCATTGAACAATAACGCGTATCGTCAAAATTAGTTGATTTCTTGTAAGCTTAGGCCTTTGTATTCAATTCTGACGGCAACAGCCAAAATAAAGATAGCAGCGACTATAAACAACGGGTAGCGGGGAATCTGTTGCGAGCTATTTCGTGTATCTATTTTATGTTTTTGGACTTATATTATTTATGAATTAATTTTGGACTTGGAGTAATTTTTGATGTTATAATTTAAAATGGTCTTAGTATATTTTATGAAAACTATTGTAATTGAACTTGTGTTATTTATTGTGGAAATATTAATGTGATATTATAACTCGAGTTGGAGTTCAATTTATTTCAAGTTTCCTTCTAAGTCTCATTCCTTACGTCGGCACGTTACATCTCCCTCAAATACGTCACTGCTGAAAACACCAGAAAAATATGAACTTTTGGTTAAAAATATTTTGGTGTTGGAATTTTAAATTTCCGTGCTAATAAATTATTCTACTTTTAGGTTTGGGTATTTGCATATATATAGTATTCATACATGAAGTGCCGGCCTGATCGATTTCGAGGTCCGGTGCAGAATTTTGCAGGGTCCCATTTATATTTATATATTTTTTTTTATTTTCATATAATTTTATAAACTTTAAGGTCTTGTTAGAAATCTAAATTTGTATACTTATACATAAACTAATAAAATAAAATTTGTATTTTTATATTAAACACAAAATGAGTAAGTACAATCAATATTTTATAAATTAATATTTTTATTAGCTATTGCCGGGTTGCATCAACTGCCGATAAAAACAGCTCGATAAGGTTTGCTATCGGGTTGATAAACTATTATAAAAAAAATCTTATAGTTCCATATAATACAGTACTGTTGCATAAAATGTTCAACGTAGTATAATTATTTAATTTTACTAACATAATTATTAATTTACCCTGGTCGTAGTAGTGTGGTATGTTTAATAAATGATAAATCGATTGTTTTTTGCAATCGTTCTTTTGAAATTATGTATTTAGATACATTGTCAAATAAATACAAAATAAAAAAGACTAATAAAATGTATAACCACAGGATAAATTAAGTTAAAAATTAAGGAGTAAGCCAGTAGCGGCTACCGGGTGGCGGGAATAAATATACAAGCGTATTATCAGTTCAATAAATAGTTATGGAACTATTTTTATTACTTATCGAATCGAAATCAGGCTTCTAACTTATCGATTCGATAAATAAAGTCTTATCGAATCGATAAGAGATAAGAGTCGTTTTTACGAATAACCATAAGTCCCGACGACCCACTATATTTTGTAAGATATATAAGAAATAAGAAGTGATATTTAGTAAAATTAACTAGAAAACATAAAAAAAGTCCTAGTATAATGAAGACGGGTACAATTTGCAGGTTGTTGTAGGTAATTTTATGTTTATCTGTAAGCAACGATAAACCATTGCTAACGAAAAAACAATTCTGTTTTCATTCACAGTTTAGTTGACAGTGATGCTTTGTCAACAAAATATATGTCATAGTAAAATAATTAAAAAGGCATTATTTATTTTCTTTAATAATATTTGTTTAATATTGTACAGATTTTCCCATTTTTTCCATGTTTTTCACATTTGCTGGGAAAGCGCTTGGGGAAATTGAAAAAAATTGAAAAATGACCTTCCTAAAGTACCTTCCCAGTTAGATTTTAGAAAAGTGGTATAATTTTAAATTGGAGCAAAAAAGTTGTACACAGAAAAAAAAAGGCCATAATATTTTTTTTATTAATAAGTACATTTGATACATCTTCCGTTTTTCCGACATTTTATCCTGGTTTTCCAGAGAATTTAATGAAAACCGCTTGATAAATTAAAATATTACCTCTCTAAATTATCATGGAGATAAGATTTCCTTTCAGAAAATAAAAGCTACACTTGATACATCGGAGCATTTCTGGTACAAACTTTTGCACAACAAATTGAGAGGTATTTTGCGCTTAAAATAGTCCAAGTGAGTGATGGCTTGGGTCTTTAGGTACACCCAAAATACATTATTTTTTTTCCTTGTTTGGGTAAAAGGGGGAACAAAATAATGCAAACAATGTTGTGCGAAACCCGGGGCCTTTAAGATGATAATAGGCATATATAACCATTAGATCACGATATATATTCTTAGAGACATTACAGAGGTATTTAACCTAACATATAATATCCGAATAATATCAGAACTTCAAAAAGCTATAATTTCGAAACTTCGTCCGCTCAATTCTGACTTCGAATAATAATTACGTTCAAAACTCGCAAAATTGAAATGCCTAGGTCTAATGTCTTTTTTACTCAAAAATGAGTTTTTTTTTTTTTTGAAAATTTTACCAAGTCTAGAAAAGCCAAATATAATTTATCTGTCCAAATTTCAAGTTTATGAATATTTTTAACTCAATTACAAAAAATAACAAAATTGAAAAATAATAAAAGTATTATTTTTGTAAATTTCCCGGTTTTCTTAAGTTTTATAATGATTTTTCCCAGATATTATGAAAACTACTTGGAAAATTAGAAAATGACCTACTAAAAGTACCATCTGGACAACATTTCTTATCAGAAATAGCGCTGCACATATACATCGGTGTAAGAATTATGGTAGAATTTTTGTGTACAGTATAAAAAAAAAAAGACGAATTAGGATAATAGAAACGGGTGTTTCCATTATTAAAGGTAATTTAATGTATACCTGTAAGCAACGATATGAAACCATTGCTTACAAAAAAACGATTCTGAGAGGAGTTCAGCTGATAGTGATGCTTAGTTAACAATATACATGCCATATTACTATAGTAAAATAATTAAGTAGGCTCTATATATTTTCTTTAATAATATTTGTTTAATATTGTACCGATTTTCCCAGTTTTTCACATTTTCTGAGTAAACTCTGGGGAAAATTGAAAAACGACCTCTTTAAAGTACTTTTCCAGTGAAATTTACTGGTAGAAAAGTTGTCCACAGAAAAAAAAATACACTAATATTTCATACATTTTTCGTTTTTTTTTTCGGATTTTTACATTTGATGAGAAAACTTTTGAAAAAATCGAAAAATTACCTCTTTAAGATGCCTCCCTACACCAACTTCTTTTCAAAAAAGTTGCTACACGTAAAAATTGGAGCAAGTCGTATGGTAAAAAATTGTCAAAAGAAAAATAAAGGAGCCGATATTGGGGATGAGCGTCCACTGTTATAGGTGTGAAGTTGGGAAGGTAGGATACATAAAGGTGATTTCATTTATATCTGTAAGCAACGATAAACCATTGCCTAACGAAAGAGGATTCCGAGCGCAGTTCAGTAACACATAATTTGATGATTGTTTTTTACGATTTTCGATTAAATTTGAATTCAAAACAAATGCTTATTAAAAAAAAAAAAGGCGTCCGATCATTAAAGAAATTTGACTTGTCTAGGTAAGTCTAATATAAGTATTATTACCAAGTTTCAAGTCTTTAAGTGCATTTATAACCGAATTACAGTAAAAAAACTCCCAAAAATTAAAATTCCTAAAGCTCAAAAGTGGCTTAAAAGTTTTGGCAATGATACCGTAAGAAAGTAAATCAAAAAGGAAACAAAAAAGGTGTCTTGTAAATTTTCGATTAAATTATTTTTTCTGGTAAAAACCGTCGTCCGTGTTTTTATAAAATAATGAAATCGTGAAATTGTACGTTTTTTTTCCATTTTAGTATTTTTATTTAAAAAATTATGTCAAAAATCAAAAAATGACCCGTTTAAAGTACTACCTAGACAACCTGAGTTTTCATAAAAGATGTTGTACGTAAAAATCGGAGCAAGTTTATTAGGAAAAAACGTGTCCATAGACTAGAATAAAGAAAAAAATAAACAGCACTGTAAAACCAATAGGTCCCTTGCCTCGCTCGAAATCTAAAAATAAATGAACATCTTATTAAAACCAATACATGTTTTGCTACACTTAGAATCTAAAATGACAAACATTGTAATGCTAAAATGTCAGACGGGAAAAAGACTGCAGTTCACGGAAGTATTCTTTGTTTGATTTTTGTTGATTTCCAAATTTATCTTTGGCTATAAGGAAAAAACAACTAATCCGGTAAGAATAGTTTTCGTCCACAATAATTTGCTGGTTTATGAATATAGTATATGAAACTTAGATACCCTGTACATCCTTCCCAACTACTTTACTACGATAGTGATCGATCCATAAGCATTATCAACTGTTTAACATTTAAATTCTATATATTGTGACCTTGTTTAGTTATTACATAAAATACATGGGTTGGTAACTTACTTCAAATAAACCTATATCTGAGTCTTGATTAGTTTTATAGTCTGGATGCGTATGTGCCTTCTTGCATTGATATGATTTCTTGGACATTCTTTGGTAATATATCTAACGGTTCAAATTAATTGGATATATTATTTTAAAATTAGGGAATTGTAATGCCAAAAAAAAAAAAAATAATATTATATAAGTAATACTTTGAGTAAAGATAATTCCATGAAACCTTCAGTGCAGTGAGCGGCGGTCAAAACGAAAGTTTTGCTTAACAGTGAACCTGTACACGAAGGGCTACTATTGTAATGAAGAAATATTAAATATGGAAATTTGTCAATATCGTAATCTTCGCCGTTAGAAACAAATTTCGTAAATATTGTGTTATTCATCGAAACATTTCGCAACACGTTCAGTTCACATATGAATTCACGGATCGGTTGTAGTAATACGAGTATAAACCATATTATAATGTTCATTATTCAAGTTATCCAACGTTTATTTTCGGCATAAATGCATAATTATACATGATATTAAATTTTAAAGTTAACTATTAATGTGATTTGTTATTTTTATAAATGCTATTATGATACAGCATAACCACGGAAACGAACCACCCAAACGTAATTTATGTGAAAATAGTAGGACATTTTACACAGTGAATACATCCGTATTTAGACACGTTTAACACCTTTTTAAGTTACCCTTCGGTAAAAAAATATTTTTAAAAATTTAAGAATACCTAATTATTTTATTGTAGACAGTGAAAACCTAAACAAATATATTAGAGTGTTAGTAATAGTAGTAAATTCTAATACATTAGAAGTAATGATTTTTACAACAGAGATCAAAATTTAAATTCAAAACGTTCATGAAAAAAAAAAACAATCAATTCGCTCAAATTTCAGTCTAAAAATGATTTTTTCTACCAAAAATCTTTCCCTGATATTCAACTGTAACATATTTTCTAAAAGAAAATTTTCTTTAGATGGTGTTGTGCTCGTACGGGTTTTTCCGTTCGAACGTTGTTCTTCTTTCGGTATTGTGATGATTCAATTTTAGAAAATAAAACAATTCTAAACATTTTTGTGCTAATATAATTTTTAATATGAGTCAAAATATATAATTGATCGTCGAGTCGACTTAGGTTTTACAGTGGTAGAACGACTGACTCTCCAACTAACTCGCGGATGCCTTATCGATGAATTATTCCTGAAGCTGCCTATACGCTAGGCGTTATCGACAGACTACAATTATATTCTCTTATAATTTATAATATACGTTCTTATAATATAATATAATTTTCCTTTCTCTAGAACTACTTCGGGTTCTATGGCTGTCAATTTTGTCGAACTCGGTTGGTTTACATTTTTTATTTTATATTTGTGGACTATAACTATGGCTAAGTGTTATGACTAGTAGTGTATAAATGGGTACAAATGATCAAACCAACATTTATTAGTATTGATTCATCGTTTTTGTTGTTGAAGACTTCCTTCTCTTCATAATTTTAAAAAATAGATTACGAAATTAGTAAATTTGTTGAACTAGTGGTCTTGTGTGAGTATTGGGATATATTTATGTTTGGTACAACGTTGGAGTCCATATCAGAATACATAGTTCTGAACGATATCATACATTTGTTTAATAATTTGAACAAGTAATAGTTTAATTTTGTTGACTTACTAAATGATTATCTTTCGATGGTACACAATTACCTAATTTCAAAATACTATAAATTAATTACTACTTCAAAAACTACTTCATTCTTTTAGACCTTGTCTTTAACAACTATAAATTAATCGTGTACAGATCAGACTCGGAATAAGGCTACTGTAGTGTGGTTACTCAAAATAAACGATATTTCGCACTAGCTAACAAAATTTCTTTATTAAAGTAAAACACAAAACATACAAAAATACGGGTCTCTTAATAGTACACAAAATACACATACGGGTCTTGATCGAAAATTTTACCAAATACACTACCAAAAAGAAAATATCAACCAACTATTTAATATTTTTAAAGCAAATAATTTATTTATATTTTTAATCAGTCTTTAAGTTAGCACATATTTACATAGTAATTAATAGTAGTTAAAGAAAACTTTGGAGAAAAAAAATTATAAGTAAAGTGTATAAAATAGTAACAATTGTATACAATTATTTTGACCAATCTGTGAGATACAATCTTCTTGGTGCTTTTTTTGGAAAATCTTCAATGATTTCACTTTCTGAAATTACCTTTATTTTGTTAATGTTTACTAAAGCTAATCCATTTAGTCTATTTTCAATCATTTCTGACCTTGAGTATGTTTTCAGTCGTTTTAAGATAGAAAAAGTATGTTCTACCCCTATGCCCCCTGCAATTGCTTCTGTATTTATTTACGTTAAATGGGTTTCTTTCTTCTGAAGTCTGTTTAAATTGAATTGAAGTTATTTTATTTAATTTTTAAATTGTTTTATATAATTTCTACGCACCAATTGCCATTTGAATTGTGTTATAAATATTAATTTGATGATATTTATTATTTTTTCTTCACTTTTGTGTTTTTGATGTTCACTTAAAGATTATAAAAAAAAAATTTTGTTTTTCAAGCAGTTGTCAATATCAGAGTAAGTATGTATAATTTTTTATAGAAAAATGTAGGGTAAAGAATAAATGAGAACGAGACGAAAAAGGTCTTTTAGTTCTTTATTTTCAACTGTTGTATTGTTGTATCCATTGTTATTACTATGGTATATATTTTCATAGTTTTTAAAAAGGTTGTCATTTTTCCTTCGGGTAATAAGAGTATTCTAATTTTTATAGAGGTATTTTGAAATAGAAAATTGATCATATTGAAAATGATATCCCATTTTTTATTGTTCAAGCCTGAATATATTTTAGGCAATGCTAAATTTATTATTTTATTTTCTACAAAAAATTGTTTTGTATTTTCTAAGATTCTGAAAATATTGGAATACTTAGGTTTATCATTATAATTGTCTTTTTTAATAAGATATAATAACCGTTGATCATGATTATATTTATGAACACATCAAATTGAGGACTTATATACACCATAAAAATACCAACAACAAATTATTATATCAAATGTTTAATTATTATTCAAAAGTTGCTGTGAAATCTAGTTTATGTACAACACACCCAAGCTCAACTCACTGAATTTATTACATAGTGATTTGAGTTACTATTTACGGTATTCAGAATTTTTAGTTAATTAATTTTCAGTAAATAAATCAGTTGTATTACATGTTAATTTTATTAAATTATTATTTATACAATTTAATTTATAGAGTAAATTATTAAATTTAAAGATTATTTAATTACTTCACTTTTTGGGATTTGAAGTACATCCAGAACTTTATCTTGAACAATGTAGGTTTGTGATATTGAATGTAGGCTCATCATGATTTCTAAATTTTCAAGATTTTGTAGAGCTATATTAGAATTCTGAAAAAAAGAAGTTTAATATTTGAACTTTAAAGTAGTCAAATAAGAATTTGTATGATATATATTAAATTGAATGGTAGGTATGAAACAAAACTTATTGCATAATTGAAACACAATTATCAAGTCAAGGTATGTAAAAATATTGAGAATTGTTTAAAAAATATAAATATATCACACTAAACAAAAATGAGATTAAATTATTTAAACAAGGTAAAGATTACTTTCAAATAATTAATGCATAATTGTAATAATTCTTTATATTTGATGATTTCATAATATTATTTCTTATAAACTCCTTATTAGTATTTTTTTTTTTTTTTAACAGGTAAAATGTTTTATAAAAATACTAAATTGTTAAACTTCTGTTATTACATTTTTTAAGAGCTTTAGAATTATTTACTCCTTATAGTATAATCTTACCTTTTACACCGATTTTCGTGAAGGGGGATCAAACATGGGTGGTGGATTTGGTAAGTAAAATAATGTAGGTAGGTTTATTATTTGACTTTAGTTTTTTCCAATGGTCTTCTCGATGGCTTTCTAACTGAAAGCTGTTTCTAAAGAAATATAAGCACAGTAAGTACATTATTTATGTACCTAAATTTAACAAAGGTAAAATTTACCTCACACAAGCATAATGATTCTGTTTGTGTCCATTTTTCTATATTTTGCACTCATCTCAATAATTTCTAGTCTTTTTCTGACCTATTACTGCAGTTAATCACACTACAACAAGGCATGTTAAAAAATAAGCTACTTGGACAAACTGAAACATTTTCATTACTGTCAGATTATAGGTACCTAGGTAGGTAATCCTCGAGATTAAAAATAATTAAATGCATAAAATATACATTTGTAATTCAATATATCATATTGTAATTATCGATGAAGTTTGCAATATTATCAAAAATATGAATTATTATGTTTCGTTACACACACAATGTGTGAAACACGTTTATTAATAAAAATTACAACAACCAATATCTCTATTTATATTATTTTATAAACACAATAGTATTTATCTATAATGGTGATTTTTACTGGAATTTCTAAAATTTGAATATATCAAATATTTCGACTGAAAACTGAGTTTGAGAAAAAAGAACATGTTTTTGTGTGATAAAAATTGATTTTATTATTATACGTATTAGAAAATGATTGTATTTTGTTAAAAATCACAATTTTTTGCATGGTCCATTATCAATATCATTATTTAAATTCTATAATGTCAGCACTCAGTTGTTTGATATGATTAGTTCCTGTTTCTAATTCAACATTTGAATGTTTTAAATAAATTGACACATTATTGAATATTGATTAAAATCGTTTTTTTGGTAAAAAATATTTTTTATTGCATACCTATCCTTGTGTATTCCATGTAATCTCTGGGTATATTTATTAATATGAATTTTGGTTAACAGTTTTTTTTGAGACGTTTGTATTACTAATTTTGAACTTCTTATTCAATACATTTCATTTTACTATGATTTTTATTGTTATGGCTAAGTAGGTATCGACAAATTTAAAAATAGTATGATACGACGGTATTTCAAATAAATGGGGAATGCGTGAATTCGAACGCAATTTGGTCAGGACACGGGTTGTTTCTCTCGTTGCACGGAATATATAGTAGCAGTACTATTGTTACAGAAGTTGTATAGGCAACATTGTATACAAATTTGGGAAGCACTGAGCCTTCTTATTAAATATTGCTATCGGAATGGACGTTGTCAACTAACCTAGTAACCAAGTTGCTCAAAACTACATCGCTAAAACACGTTTTTAATGTGATTAAATTTTTTCATTTTCATTTTATGAAAAACTCGTTTTGTAACACTTCACAAGTGCTTTACAGTAAATCGTTTTTCATTTAGTTTATTTCCATCTGAATTCTAATTCTCATTTATAAGTTTTAAACAATACATTTTAAACAAATATGTATTATTGATTGTTTAGAGAGCCTGTTATACTTTCAACATCAATCATTTCAATTGTTTGGTTTTAGTTGCTGTTAAGTAAAAGTAAAATACCTACTATACATTATTTTCTAATTAATCCAGAATGTATGAATTTAATAATTAATGACAAATTACTAAAATAAATAAATAAGTAGGTGAACATGATAAAAACTGTTAAAAATATGGGCTTTCAATACAAAACTGAAAGTATAATTTTTTCCGTTTCGTTTGTACTGATTATACTGTTCTCTAATATTTATTATTCAATACTCTGCCCTCCTAAGCAAAAACACCAAAAGTTCAAACAAATTTAAAAATGAGATATACACCAAAATTTAGACGTTTTAGGTCAATATGCTGTAATATCTGAAATATTCTATAATTCGACTAGTAATTTTGATGAAATGCCGTAAATGGTCCAAAAAATGCATTTTGACTAGGTAAAAACGCTGTATTATAACAATGCTAAGCAAAAACGCCGTGTATATTAAGATACGGCATTTTTACTTAGTAAGTATATAATAAAAAAAAATAATTTGCGGCATTTAGACTTAGTACAGATTGTCATTTTACTTATTGTAATATTGTAACCAATAAATCATCAAAATATAATAATATAGAAACTTTACAAACGATCCAATATCGGTTATTTGTTAGTTATTTATACGATTATCTATGGATTCTATTCAGTACAATTCTATAATATACCAATTATACTATGAATCAATTTAAAAAGTTAAGTAAGTACTTCAGAATTTATTTATTTTTATTCCATTGCATTAATCAGGTAAAATACCATTTGAAAATACTTACCATACTTTGATAAGTAAAATGTTAGTGGTATTATGAATTTTAGAAAATCCAAATTATAAAAACCCGTTTTTCTCAAAAATGTTGTCTAATAACTTACGGCGTTTTTACTTATAAGGGCAGTACTGTAATCCATATAAAATATTATTGTAATCGCAGTGGTGTTTATTTTCTAACTTTTAATAAATTGAACTATTGTTATATCGTTTTAAAAGCCTAAAGTAAACATTTTTCTTTATTGCACTGCCTATTACTTTTTTTTTTAAAAAAAATAATTTTGACTTTGAAAACATATAACATTTAAAATCATAGTCTGACTTTTTTTTTTCTAGAACATTTTAACCACATACTTCTTTATAATTATTGGTATACCACATTGAATAGTATATTAAATAAAACATATTTGTATAAATTGTAAAAAGTTTAAAATTATATTGACTATACTTTAAATTGTATTACTTTTATTCTTGATAAATGATAAAATATATGATAACAACAAGATATAATTTAGAAATTGTTTTTCTTCATTATTTTGAGTTTTCTTTTATGAGTAATAATATCCTGTTTATCTCTTGATATATTAGTTGTACTTTTTTCTAAAATGTACAGTGAAATTGAATAAAAAATAATAATTCAGAATTTTGACTTAACCTAAACTTCTATTGGAACATAATATACCTTTGTATTATATACACTGAAAAAAAACCGTATTTTTACATATCTAGGTGTTTGAATGTTTTTGGACTTTAAATTTTAAACAAAATATAAAATGTCTCAAGATAATATAATTTTTTTATTACAGTAATACCTAATCAATATAACTTTGGATTATACAATAAGCTATATATCTAAATATATAATAGGTATTTATTTATTTATTATACTTATAATTTCTAGATTTCATAAATGGTGGTTAAAGATAGGGATTAGGAATATTGATTAATGTGCTTAATATTGCAATTTTTAATAAAATATACCCTCTAAGGGATTCTCAGATACACCAAACTATCGGAACTACTAGATAGTCTAGATAGTTTCAAACTATTTATTTACTCTGTAGTTTTTAACGTTTATCGAGTAGTTCATTCTATTGATAATATCTATTCAGTTGAAAAAGTACTCAGTTGTTTATAAACTATTGATAGTCAAAAACACTAGGTTGTTTTTTTAAACCAGTCAGTGTCCAATACTACTGAAAGAAAACTATCGGACTATTGAGCTTTTTTTTTATTGATAATAATATCTATCTACTTGATTAAATACTTGTTTTTTTTTTTAAATCTTAGCAGTCAATTGGTGCTACTACTGAATGAAAACTACCGACTAATTTATTTAATAGTTTTCAAAACAATTGATGGATAAAAATATCTATTCAATCGATAAATCACTTGGTTGTTTTTTAAACTATCACTAGCTAAAACTAGTATGTTTTGACCATCATTAGTTAATGTTTGTATGGTTCTTTCCTTCCCGCTTGTTATGTTGTAAACAACTGATTTAAATTTCCCTGACCCGCCAATAACACTTCATGTCCATTATCACACACTTATACCACAGAATATATTTAATTAAAAGGGATACTCTCAATGTAAATAAATTTTGCCGTTGTCGATTTTTCAAGAGTTTTTTCAGCCAATTGAAAAAACTGGAAATGTAGGTATTAATTGAAAAAAATATTTCAAACATTTTTGGTGACATCATGGTCATTTAATCTATAAATAGTAAGATTGTGTACTTGCAATTTTTGTCTATAGTTCATTGCTGATAGATTAGTGAGTAGACATAAAAGTACACTATCCTAGTCTATTTAATAACAATTTTGGTATTACTAGCTAAGGTTTTTTGATAATTCTTTTCTTTTAGAGTTCAATTCTTCTCCTGTTCAAATGATCATTATAATATTGATATTCCTGAACAGTTTCATTTATATGGTAATAGCAAATATCATGTATTGATATTTTATCAGATTTCAATGTGTTAAAAATAAAGTTTTTGAAGCTGATAAAAACCACTGTTCATTAATCCAAGCTTTGTATACTCAACATATATCAGATAGTGAAAACAAGTTGACTACCATTTATTTCTATATATTATTTTATTTATTTTGGTTTCCTATACTAATAATATATATATAATAATAATGGCTAAGGACCATGGATTATAATACAAGTCATTCCTTGATTTTGCTTATTTTCTCTATGTTTTTCATTTTTCTAGGTCTTGTTTATACTTTAGAATATTCAATATTAGTATTTTGAGAATTATTTGTATTATTATCTAGTAAGTCATCAGCTTCTATTTCTGAATCAGAATTTAATTTGCTTTAGTCCAATGTTTAAAGTTGTCTAAACCCAGTTAAAGTATACTTAACAAAAAATGTACAAAATTTTGTTTAATATCTTATTCTTTTAGATTCTGAGTGTAGCGAAGGATGTATTGATTAGATGAAAAAATATATAATAGTAATATGTATAATGTATATCACCTTTTTCAATCATAATAATAATTTATAATAGGTTGTTTTTAATAAAAGTAAATTAAATGATTATCAATACAAAACATAGGGATAAAAATAACTCTAATATCAACCAGAATCACAGATATATTTAAAAACTAGATAGCACATCTAGACAACATGATATAAATATTGTCTAAGTGACAAATCGCAATGAGCATCATAATTATATACATTGTTGTACATGAAGTCAGCTATCTAGCTTTTATATGTATCTATAGCCAGAATATAGACAATTATCTAGATAATAAAAATTTTATCTTAGAGAAGTACTTAGATAACCTGGTAATTTATCTATATAAAAGATGACCAAAAATATATCTAGATAAGTCACAATACTACTCATGAGTACTTCAAAATATTCTTGACACAGAAGGTTTTTCAAACTTATTATAAAATTCTCTACACAATTATTTTTTATTTATTTTTCCATAAAAATAGCATGTCAGATTTTTTATCATAATGTAGTTAAGTAACCTAATCCATATATAGCATATCAATATCTCTTGAGTTTTTTGCACTCTTAGTCATTTAACTAAATTAATAATTATACTTTTGTAATAAATTAGTACCTACAGAATTTAACCAAAAATCAATTTTTTATTTATGTTATTTCATATTTTACAGAAATAATATGGCATCAAAATATAATGGATTTTTGATTTTTGTGAACAATTATAAAAAAAAAGAAATAGAAAATGGAAAAAAACCTCCACATTTTAAAGCTCTAATCAATATTGTAACACCAATGTGGAATGTAAGTAGTAAAATATAAATTGTTGTAGTGTGTCAAAGTGACTAAATTTATTTTAAAATATCTGAATAAATGCTAAACAAATTTTTATTCTGTGGTCAACTTTTTTATCAGAAATCTTGCTCCTATTTTCAATTATAGTACATTTCCTAATAGATAATTTCTTCTGGGTGGTACTTAAGAGTTTTCATTTTTTTGATTTTACAAAGGGCTTACATAATAATTGGGAAAATCAATAAAAATTACAAAATTTATTATTTTCAATTTTATTTTTTTGTTGTGATTCAGTTCAAATGTTCAGTTCAAAGGCATTTCAAATTTTGATAGAAAACTCATATTTGTCTTTTCTACACATGGTAAATTTTTTAAAGCACACAAGTTATTTTTGAACTACTTATAGTCATTTCAATTTTGCTAGGTTTTATTACATATATTTTATATGGTATATACTCTGTAGCAAAAATTGTTAGACCAAAGGATGTTTGTCAATTATTTATATTTATATTAACACTAATAAAAATATATATATATATATTACATTTCTGAGATGTCTGAGTTGATAACAGACATATACCACCATTATAATACTACTGTAACTTACTGCAATATTGAAACTTCAAAAAGCTATAGTTTCGAAACTTAAGTCAGTACCCTCTATTTTGACTATGCCATCATTCTTAAATTTGCAATAAACATATGTTCAAAACTAATTAAATTGAAAAATTTGTATGGATCAGTAACTAAATCTGTTCAACATAATTTTTTACTCAAACAATTTTCATCAAAATTTGATACTTATTAAAATTCCTAAATAAAAAAAAAATGCGATACAAAGACGTTTAATTTATAATTTAATCAGTGACTGACTTGTAGCCACATATGTGCAGATATTTTGTTTTGTAAATTATATACATTTATTGTAAAATTTCTATTATTTATCTATTTGATTAATCCTTGTAATCCTAGCCCTGTGATTGATGGTTAATCAATCTTTTACTGTATTTTACTTTTTATCTATAATTTTATTTTGGTTTTTATCAATTATCTTATATAACATCTTAGAAAATAATAAAATAATCTTCCCTATGCACAAACCAGTAAAAATTACCTTTCAGAAAAAGTGCCATAGTCTATATTTCGGAGCAAGTTGTCTGTTAATAAACAGAAAAAAATAAAACAAAAATGTAAAAACAATTTTTTTTTTTTATAAGAATGATTAATACAGATATATGTACATTAAATTACTCTCTATATCCTACCTTCCAATTTTCTCATCTACAACAATGGCTCACCCATCATATTTCTTAGAATAACTTTGAAATTTTTTGTTTCACTATACATTCTAGGAATTAACTGCTGAAGAAAAAAACAATTATAAAAAAATTGCTGTGGAATTAAATTCAAATGAAAAAAAAAAGAAAGATGCACAACAACCTAAACAGATTATTGATATGCATAAAAACTCTTCTAATTTTTATGAGATGCAAAGATTTATAACAAAATTATTTAGATCAATTTCCAATAAAAATGGTAAAAAAAATTGTATTTATTTTGTGTTTTGTATTCACATATTTATGTTAATGTTCCTCTTATATTATATAGGCAAAGTCAGACATTTTTATAATCCTTTGCCTAAATATCCTTATGTTTGTATAGTATTTTGAATACTATTATGAATAGATGGACTTATGGAAGTTATTTAGATATTTGAATAACAATAAAATAGTCAATTTGGACAGTCCACTTGTTTCAGAAAATGTAAAAATAAATTTTGAATTTGAATTTATATTTATATTTCTGATATCATATACTAATAGTCAGTTTTGGTATAGGTGTTAGCAATGGATTTTGGATTTTAAATTAAACACTTATTATAAACTTTTCAATAGTAAATAGGTATTATAAATTCACTTATTTTAGATATTACCTTCACTAAAAACAAAGCAAAGTTTATATCAAATCAAACGATATAATAATCATTTAATCGTATAATAATAATTTTTATTCTGAAGACAAGAATAAATTTAAGTTATTCTGCATAATGTAACACATTCATTATTTCGGAAAATATACATTTTATTCGGAATTTTTTTTTTAGAATTAAACAACTATAAGTTTAAATAAATTTTGATTATGTTAACCTAACCAACATTTTTAATTTCAGTTAACTTGGTATCTAGATATTCCACTTAAGAGTTTGTAGTTAGGTGAGATGATTTGAACACATTCACCACAACAAATGATGCTGCACTGCTCTCTTCCTCTCAATACTTTAAAGTGGAGTATCTCATCCATCAGTTGGCAAACATTAAAAATGTTAACATGAAAATCTGTTAAACTAAAACATCCTAGAGATGTATGGAATTTTTAACATTATATATCGCTATCTGAAAAATAAAAAATGGATGATGGTTCCACACCATTAAAATAAGGTCAACAAACCATAATAGTAGTGTAACTGCTTTTAATAATTAACTACAAAAAAGTTATTCCTTCTAAGATAATGAGTGTCTTATGGTATGTTGATCATTTTTTATATCATTATATAGCATATTTTATTATTTAATAACTTATAAAAATAAAATGAGTATGTGAGGAAAATGTTCCTTGGAGAAACACAGGGGTGGGGTATTATACAAGCCTTGAATATGTTACATTAAAATGCATAATGCATAATTTCTTTGGTTAATTTCTTTAACTTCAAGGCATGGATTGAGATAAAAATGCCTTAGGGTATTAGCAAAAAAGCATTATTTTCTGATTTAATTGAATTAATTATTTTACAATTTTGAACAAATTATTTATAGATGTATAAATGCATATTTGAATCCATTAATTGATATTAATTTTAAATGTTTGTTATTTTATGCAGTGTTTTTGATGAATAATTTTTTTTTTTTTTTTTCTACCAATATACAACAATATTGTTTTAAGTATTTCCATTGATAACTACTTCCAAGGAAGAAATGATTAACATTTATACTATTTGTATGCTAGTGAATTTTAACATTGAATAATTGTAATTATTTGTATTTCAGAACTACTAAACAAAAATTTCATACTGGTACACATAAATTCACATACGCATTATGGGGAACATTATTATTTTCCAGCCGAGATAGCTGCTTTAGAATTTAATTTAAAAGATGGTGCCAAACATACATATCATCAAATTATTGGTCTCTGTAAGTATCATAATAATAACACATACTGGAGTGATTTATATTATGTGACTTGTAATCATTATTAAGTCAAACTGGTCTATACAGGATAGTACAAGATTGCTAAAAAGAAAATCACAAAAACACAAATAATTAATTCTGAGATAATGATTTTCTTACAGATTGATCACCTTGTATGTTTTTATATGTTAAAAAAAAAAAAAAAAGATTAATATGTTATAGCCAGCATTCCTATTTTCCTGTTTTTCCTTTAGTTTCCAGTTTTTTTAAATTTATTGGAAAATCAAAAATGACCTCCTACAGTACCTTCTCAGTTTTTTTTTTGAAAAAGTGTTGGTAGAAAAGTTGTCCACAAAAAAAAACTTTTTTAAAACTAATACATTCCGGCTCCATTCAGAATTTTATCGAATTATTTTATATTCATAATTTTTGCAATGTTAGATAATTGTATTTATAAGTTAAATCCACTAATGGTGGCTTTTAATAAACCCATCTATTATTTTTCTTTTTTCAACATTTTTTGTGAATTTTAAGAGCGTATAAATCTAGTCTATACGACTATAAATAATTATCAAATTAAAAATTTCTGAAATTGTTTTATTTATTTGTCTAGCCAAAATTTATCCTAGAGGTTATGCTGGTGGTATGAGAGAATATTCAGATAAATTTCACCGAATATCCTGCTGGGAACCTCACCCTGATGACTATGAAAAAATATTATCGGAGTTTGTAAAGTTTATTGAAGTAAATATCATACATAGATTTTTATATTTATTTATTATAATTTTAATATGTATTTGTAGAAAGTAAAAGATGCTGAAGATACATGTGAAGACTTGCCATACATCTACACTATAGAAACAGAAATTGGTCATAATATGATGCAAACTAAACAAAGTCTAGACCAACTATACAGAACAGTGTATCCAGAAAATCCTGGTAATAATATAATAATAGGATAATAGTAGGGAAGGTAGTAGAAGGGGAATTCCTATTATTGTTTTTTTGGTATTTCCCATTTTTTCAGAAAACTAAAGAAAATCAAAAAAAAAAAATGATATATCAGTACCTCTTTAGTCCAATTTTCTTTTAAAAAAAGTGTTACACTTAACAATCGGAACAAGATTTTTGGTAGGAAAGTTTACCATAAAAAAAAAATAATAATCATCATTGAATAAAACCATAAGCTTCTTTGCTCCACTCAGAATATAAAATAACTTGTTGCACTTCTGATTTTGGTAAGAATGTAAAATATGGGTGAGATTAGGTTAATATTAGTGAAATCACTGATTAATCATAGCAATAAAATGATTCTGGTAAAACCTCACAATATTAAAAAAAAATCTTTATTCAGAACTATGCATTACAAACAAACAATTAATTATATTGATAAAGATAATAATAATAATAAAAGACTTCCTAGGATAATAAGAATGGGTGCAGCCACTGTTATAGGTAATTTAAAGTATATATATAAGCAATGATAAACCATTACTAATGAAAAAACAATTCTTAGAGCAGTTCAATTGATAGTGATGATTTGTCAACAATATATGTCATATTATAGTAAAATAATTAAATTGGCTCTATATATTTTCTTTAATAATATTTATTTTATGTTATACCGATTTTTCCATTTATTAGGAAAATTCCTGGGAAAATCGAAAATTACCTCCCCAGTACCTTCCTAGTAAAGTACCTTCCCAGTCAGATTTTCTTTAAGAAAAATGCTACCATTTTAAATCAAAATTTAAAGCAAAATTACTCCAGAAAATTGTAGAAAAGTTGTACACAGAAAAAAAAAGGCCATAATATTTTTTACTAATACCTATATTTTGTACATTTTTTATTTTTCCAAAATTTATCCTTTACACTTGAAAACTTAATAAACGGCCTCACTAAATTGTTATAGAGTAAAACTTCCTTTTTTATTTCTATTTTTTCTAAAATGTTATTTTTAATAATAATAATTGTTACCTATTTAACACCCACATCACTTAATGGTATTCAAGTTTATTTAAAAATGATTTGATTATTGTTTAAGCATTGGGTATCCAGAAGAATATTTCAAATTAAGTTCAGGTGGACTGAAAAATCAGCATATTTTAGTGTATAGTTGTAAAATCTATTAACTAATCAAATAAAAAAAAAAAATAGATTGCTCCACTAAGTATCTAAAAAGTATAAAATACAATTCATGTGCCCTTAAATTCATACTATAGTTAAAACTTGTGCAGTATGTTGAGCAAATAGATTCAGCCAAGGGAGTAGTATCACTCTGTGTTCTTATATATAACGAAGTATAGAAAATCTGGACTTGAAAGTTTATTTTAAACTATGTTTTAGTTGTTATATGTCCAATAAATTTAAAAAAGAGATACTTTTGTTTAACAAAGAATTTAAAGTATTATTTGATTAAATTATATTATTTTTTATTTATATAAAAGTTTATTACTGAAAATTTTGCTTTAATGTATCAAGTGTTGTACATTTTCTGAAAAGAAATTTTATATGAGTGCTAACTCATATAAAATTGGTTATTTCAAACCTATTTTTAACTATTTTAAATGGGTTGCTTCAAATAAGTTATAATTATGTGTACAGATATACATAAAATTTCCCTCTATATCCTACCTTCTCAGCATCTCATATAAACAGTGGCCCACCCATCCTGTAAAGTATGTCAGTCTTTTTTAATTTTTAAATATTAAAACATTGTAATATTTTATGTTATTCTTACTCATAATTAACTTTGAATACCTAATTATAACTGAATTCATTTTTTTCATGATAATAATTATATTTTTTTACTAATATTATTACTAAATTTTTAATGAAACTCACTTATGATTATATTTATTTTTATTTTGATATTAAATTATTGAGTTATTTAAATTCTTTTAAAATGTTAATTAAAATATTATTTACAGAAGCAGTCAAAAATACCAAACCGATATTTAATATAGGGAGTCTTGAGAGATTATTTAATGAATTAATGAACAAAATGGAAATTGAAAGACCTATTACATCATCCAAGACAGCACATGATATTTTAGAAAGTGACATGTATGGAAGTGGACTGGGTTGTATGGTATGTATTGTATACTAAATGTAGACAACTAATGTTATTACTATTTATTATATACACTGTACCTATAAAGAAAATTGTATAACAATTGTGTTTTATCTATTTTAATTTTTTTTTTTTTTTTTTTTAAATACTTTATTTATACTTTTCAAATTTTTTCTTTAAAAACTTTTTTAAAATCTTGATTTATGTTCATGACAACCTATAAATTTAAGCATAATATTTATGAAATCTCAATAATTATAGCCCAATAAATGTTAATAGTAAAATGTGCAAGTATAGTATAATAAATACTAATTTTTATTCTATCCAAATTATTAATTATGAGTAAATTAATGAAAACTCATACTAGGGTATAACATTTTTAATTAACTGCTATTTTGTATTAGCCCAATCATTAAATTGAATTAATTTTATAATATTTTTGGTGTTTAGTATCATGAGGTGAGAGATATTGCATTCAAGTGTTCCAAAGCTCGTGTTCTTCAATGGATGTCCAATATGTGCTTATTCATTCACAAATATTCAGGTTTACATATTAGACCTGGTAAACACATGGCAATTCAACTAAAAAACGGATCAAAGATGGTAAGGCTATCTTTGTTATTTATTTGTATTTATTATTTAAATATAAATTTTATTTTATTTATTTCATCTATATTCTTTTGTTTTAAGATGATTGAAAATGAGGATGTACCTTTATCTAAATTTAATTTAAAATATGAAATTTCACAATCTACTACAACTCAGAAACCTAATAATCATTTGTCATAAGAGAAGCAAACTTCTTCTGAATTAAAAGTAATGATTAATTAGATATTTTATGATAATTGTATCCTCAAAACTGTGTGGTGAAACCTTTACTGAAGGGAGGATATTAAAAATAAAAAGTTCTTATTTCGATGCAAAAATTAGCAGTTTGGAAAATATTTTTCAGAATGTATACTGACAAGTATGAGATCCCCCCCCCCCCAACCGGAAAGTATTTTTTTTATTAATTTCAAAAAATGTTTTACATTATTTTGTAACTTACTGAATGAATATACTGATTGATCTAAGGATCAGATAAGAGTTCTTAAAATAGAATTGAAATTTTTGTTAATTCTACTTGATAGGGATTTTCACAGATTCTTGATTTTATACTTATAAATACAAAAAATAAATAATAAATTTATATTTTAATTTTTAACGTAAAATTAATAAGATATATAAGTCAAATTCAGTTGCATACAATGAAAATTTAAATGTGTTCTTAGAATTTGTATTACTTCATTGAACTAATTAGTATATTTTAATGAAAACATGTACCTAACATGTCTAAATCCAGTCTAATTAACATTGATTTTAAATAGTACTATTTAAAATCAATAAAGATAATTTAAAAATTGTTATTGTCAATTGATTAATTATAATAATTATTAATAAACTAGAGAAATACTCAGTTTCTCTAATATATCTGTTATTAGAATATTTTACAATTTATAATATAATCTGGATTATCTGAACTAAGACCATACTTATACCTATTTTGGATACTGGGAATTTTTGAAAATTTTTGCAATACATATTCATTTTATTGGTTTCATCTGTGTCCAGTTTAACAAAAATTTCTATTTTTGTTTTAATGTAAGAACATTACATTTATGTTTATTAGATGTTAAAGATGATCTCATTTTTAATATATATGTATAAAAATGTGTAGAAAGCCAAATATTATAACGTTTAGATAACATATTATTTGGATATATCAATTTATACATATTGAGTTAATAAAGAATCGATATGATATACCGAAGGTTCAGATAATCAAGATTCAACAGTATTGTGTTATAATAATCTAATATCAAATTATTTGATACATTTTAAAAATATTCTTCTCTGTTAAAACAGTTTTTTTTATTGTATTTTTTGCACCTTGCAGTATGATGGTTGACTATCAAATGATCAATGTAATCCATAAGCTGTCAACAATTAATGGTTTGTTAATTTTGTAAAAATATTTTAAAGGCTTTTTATTTTATGCCAAAAAAGTTTTCTTATAAATATTTAATTGAAAATAAAATAGAATGAAACTTATTTGGCACAAAATAAGGAATATTAACTGTAAGTACACAATATACCTATAATTAAGATGTTTAATTAATGATTTTAAATAATAACTAAATTCTAATTGAGAAATATATAATATTCAACAATATTGAATAATATAATAATTATAATATTATAAAATAACAGTTTATTAATTATTTGTATATCAATTTATTTTCTAATTTTATTTTTCCTCCAATATTTGCAATTCAGTTAAATTGTATTGTATGTTAAAAAAGTTTTCAAGCTCTATTATATATATCAGAATAAAAAAGATTTTTTTTTAACAGTAAAATGTATTTTATGGTATTTTATACAGTATATTTGTTTCCATAATCAATAATTCTATCCATTCCTTAATTATCCCTAGTAGAGGTCTGATCTCCCCAGATAATGGGTGTGATGATTTCATATTGGAAAATAAGAATACTGATTTTATTATGAGGATACTGAAAAATTAAAAGACAGAGAAGTGCATTGTGCCTGCTCTGGGCCTATTAAATTTTTTATCATCTAGTTTCATAATTATTATTTATTTCTTTATTATATTATTATTTTTTATTATTATTCTTTATGCCCAGTTGCACCAAACTTGTTCTTATCTTTTGATAAATTCTAGTGTTAAATATTTATTTGATGATAAACTAATAACTACTATACCAGATCAGAACAAAAGCTTTGCATTTTTCACCTTTCAACACCTTTCAAATATGTTAATATTTGTAACATAGGAAAAAATTTAAATTTTAAAAACATAATTTATAAATATTTTCTTAGTGTCATGAGATGTGCATAAAGAAGGAAATTTAATTTTAGATTTTAAATATTAGTTTATATTATAGATGGAGTTTGAAGATTACAATTTGTATACTGTCTAGTTTTTAGTATTTGATTTTGCTTACTATTTTCTGAACATAAAAATTTGAAACAAAATTTACAACTATACATTATTTTTTAAATTTTTTTAATAATAGCTCCAGCAATATAAGTCTCACAAACTAATGCAAATTTAGAATTATTTTTAGAAATATTATTATTTACAGTAGTAATAATAGAAGAAGTTATAAATCATAATTTAGAAGAAACAAATATAGAGAGTAAATATTTAAAATTAGTTAAATTTGCACAGTTGTCATTCTCACAGTTAGCTCCTCACCTCGATAAAACATTAAATTATTAATTATAATGGTTTTAAAAGGGTTGAAAATTAGAACATGTTGGATTTACATTGTGACACTTGTGGCTTCTAAATTGACAAAATAAATTTTCTACTGGATCTTTACTAAAAGATCATAATGTTGTAAATTTAAAACCTTTATTGAAAAGTTGTTTTGCTGTATATTGTACCCTAGTAATAGTCGTAATCTAAATTCTAATTGTTGGTACATTAGTTGAACATTGCATGCTTTGTAAAATTTGAATCGCTTCATTCCAAAATTCCCAATGAGGTGAATTGAGTTATAGCAATTTGTAGTTCTTTATCAGGTAAAACAAAAGTAGAACTGTTGTTGATATCAAATAACTTGTCCATAAATAAACAAAGTTTTGCAGTATATATTGCTTCTGAACTTAGTTTGTCCTGTTTTTCACCTAAAATCATTTATTACTAATTAATATAATATTTAAAAATATCAATATGGCATTATAAAATGTTTCTGACCTGTCCATTCATCAATTATTAATTGCCTATTTCATAAAATTGTGTGATATAACTTCATTTGATAATTATTTTTACTCCATTTACATCAAACAATACATTTTTTGTTAAAAGATTATTTCGTATTCCCTTTAAAAGGTGTGGTGGGTCATACAAAGTAACAATTTCTTTTCCATCAATCTAAAATCCAATGTTCTTTTTTTCTATCCCTGTTCTTGTGTAGTTTTAAATAGTTTCTTTCATTAGTCTATTGAAAGCAGCTAAATTCGTAGAAGCTTAGTCAGAAGTTGTGGCTATTATATGTAATCCAGTAGACTGAACTGCTCTTATAGTCTCTTTCTGAGCAGCAACTAAATCAGGTGTTTTCATTTCATTCCCGGTATAATAGAATGTACTAAGAATAGACTAGTAACGAATTGTTGGGCGAGGTGGCTGTGCTGATCACCAAATGTTTTCTTTTCAAAAGTACAAAGTATTGAGCGCTATCTATACAATAGGTATCCCAAAATATTAACGACAGATAACGACGTCAGTGTACTTTAACTACACAACTAAGAAAAAACCGTGTACTTTTGAAAGGGTAACATTTTTCAGTTGACCTACCAAAACGTTTGGCAAAGTACGAGTATTTTTCTAATGCAAACTTAAAAAGGATTTTTAATAAGACTGAAGATTTTTTGATGGAACTATCAATTTTGTACTTGTATATTATATAATGTAGATCAAAAATCACCAAATGGTAAGCTGTAAACGAGGCATTTATCAATCATAAATAACCTAGTTCATTAAACAATTGGTTTCTGAATCAACGGCTATACGCAATGAATTAGTATATTTTGTACGATCAACAAATATTCGGAATGTTTAATTAATGAAAAATGATTGGTCTACAACCATAGTCATGCTTGTAAATGAGTAAACATGTTTTCTCGTTCTGGGTGTACTGAATACCTTAAACATTTAAAAAAAAAAATAAAGTATGTCGAATGACCAATAAATCGTTTAATAACTATTGTTCAATAGTTCAACAAATTAAATAAACATCTATCGTTTCATGTAATGTATACATTCAATGATCTATTTCTATTAAATAAATGAATTGATCGTGAATCTTGTTTTTTCTCACCAATCTTGATAAGTACTCATTTTTGTCAATAAAATTAATTATGAGAAATAAAAAAGACCTTCGAGTCATTAATGGACTATAGCAAGTTTGGGAAATTGTAAAATAGACCTCAATAAAAACTATTTTAGGAACATAGGAAAAGGAAACTCACGCTGACTATAACTGGTCTCCATCTCTACGCTACACTTCAACATCATTGCATTTGGTCATATGGAAGGGATTAGGATATTGAACTTGATGACTGCCGGTTTGACCAGATCTAAGAATTTATGCAAAGAATCTGACTGTTCTCTCGTATGACAGGCTATAATAAGCTTACTATCACCATAACAGCTTTTCGGATTTTCAAGTCCCAATCTTCGTAAATTTCTTCTATTTTTTTTGCCATAATGTTGACATAAATATTATAAAGTTTATAAATATAACTTAAGTTTAACTAAACGACTTAAAAAAAAAGGAAGAGTTATAATACATTTTATTTATTGTTGGGTTTTTTTTATATTCTAAGTGGAGGGAGGAATGTATTGGTTTTACAATGATGTTAATATACTTTTATTTTTTATACCGTATACAAAAATTCTACCAAAAATCTTGCTCTGAAGTATCTTTTCTAAAAGGGAATTTTCTTGTGTGGTACTCGGAGGAAGTAATTTTTTTTATTTTTTTTTTCAGGCATCGTGAAAACTTGAAATTTTAACAACATTTGATTTTATATACGTGTTCAAATTTTCAAAACAATTAAGTCATTTTTGAGCTTTTATAGATATTAATTGCTTGAAAATTTAACAGGAGGTTCATTATAAGTTGTACTTAGTTGTCAACAAGAAAGAGTTGAATTTAATGTAGTATTTTTTTTAATTTTTTTTTGACGAAAATTGTAAATATTACGGCCTTTCAAAAAATTTTGAACTGAACTCTGCTTAGTATAGTTTTTCGTTAGCAATGTTTAATTATTGTGTACATGCATATATACAGAGTGAAATCTCTATGTAACGGACAGTTACGGGACCATAAGAAATGTCCGTTATAGAAATAAACGGTTACGGGTGTGGTATTTCAAATAAAACATTTAAATGAACAAAGAAAAATGTACAACATTATAATAGCGAAGTGATACAGAATAAACACTGAACAACCTTTACGTTTTGTGCATGTTTTTGATTATTTTCATATCCTCACAATTAACTTTTTCCTTATTATTACATATGTAATCTGTCATAATCGGTGTATGAAATAGACCAGTGACGACCCTGCGTGGTATGGTTGTTACATGATACATATTTGCAATACATTTGATTTTGAATTATATTATATATATAGATATTTGTCCGTTATCGACGTATGGGCGAAAAATATTACTGTCCGTAATAGAAAGAGTCCATTATAGACAGGTAAAAATACATTGGAATACCTATCTTTTTGCCGGGACCTTATTATTTTGTCCGTTATATACAGGTGTCTGTTAAAGCAGGTTTCGCTGAACATACAATTCCCCTCTGTATCCTACCTTCCCTACTTCTCACCTACAACCTTCCAATCGTTGGGTCTCATCATGTTCGTCTTTCTTTAGTCTTTCTTCTTGTTAAATATTATTATATTATTATATTGTTTAATATTTATTTTCAGGTTTGCTAAACAATTTTTTTATAAATATTTTTGTGAAAACGAATATATATATATATATGTCCTGAACACATGTATTTAAAAGTATAAAGTCTAGTTCAAGTTTAAAACTATCAATTTAAGCAATTCATATATAAATAATTGTATTTATGCGATCTAAAGATGTAATATAATTGTTATACATATTACAACATTATAATATATTTTATAATAATTATTGTTTATATTATAGATTAGTTACTTGCTATCTGAAGCATACTCAAGTAGTCTACGATTACCATATTTTTCATTATCAGTTATTTATAAAAATTATTGTATACTTAATGCAGCCTAAAGTCTAAATTGTATTTGTTATATTTAATTCTTAATTACCTACCTCAGTATAAGTATTATTTAAACATAATCAAACATCTTTCATAGTATTTTAGTGTATGTAACAATATTTTATAATGTATCATTGGTTGATTGTATGGTATTTCCTGTGAGAGAGGATTAGAATAATTCCACAGTACCTCTATCTGCTGTAAGAGGTGACAAATAGGGTTGTGTTAGGTCAACAGCCAGTGTAAAATTCTGTCAAAAATTAAAAAGAAACGTGGGTAAATTATCCCGATATATCCGTTTGCCGAAAATGATTCACCAAAATGTCTTTCGCCGAATTACTTTTTGCCAAGAAGGACCAGATCCTCCCGAAATATGTTTGTGAGATTTTTGCGAATTTTACGTGGTAGGTACGATGTTGTATAATTTATATTCCAATTTAATACATAATTTTATAACATCGTGTAAAAATAAGTGTTTACAGCTACGGCGTGTTTCGGTATAACTACAAATCATGTAGCTAAAATATTCCAATTTAATTATTCATTTTGAATTTTGCAACTTATTAAGTTTTAAATTGTTTATAATTTATCATTATGAATTAAAAATAGTATTTTAAATGAGCAAGAAAAGAAAAACTCGAAGTATTATTTTGTCGTTTTTAAAATAAAAAATATTAAAAATATTATTATATTATGACTTATGAGTAAAGTATATTTAATTGCATAGATAATTAATATGAGTCTAAATTGTTTTCCAATATGCGTTGTCTGTAAATGAAAGTTAAACAGTTAAAATTTTAAAGATTTTACTCATAAACCTAGGTTAACCTTACCCCTTCCCATTTGTTTAATTACGGGGGATATGAGGATATACCCCCTTCCATGAGTCGTATTTATATAGCATATTGCTATTTATACAAATTGGAAGTTCAAATGTAAATTTTCAAAAATATTATAAAATTAAAAAATTATAAATGTTTAATTGTATTGATAACTACCAAAATATTCATAGTTTCTTATTATACTAGTTAAAAAATATTCTTAATATAAGTAATATTGTCAAAAAAAAAAATTGTAAATTTCACTTTAAGCTTTACATACAACACGTTCGAACGTGATTAGGATGTTATGATTTTAAAAACGCAGTCGTGTCATTTAAAAGAAAATTTCAATAATTATAGATATTGACTTGTTTAATAAAAAATTAACTAAAAATCAAGTAAATTGACTAAATTCAAGTTTTAACAGTTGTCACTTTGCAAATTCGCCAGTGCAAACCGCTGTACAATACTATAACTTTTACTAGAATTTCGATTCGTGAATCGTGAGCATGGTCTGTGTCAGTTTAGATAAAAATTCGGGATATAGATCAGTTTACCTACTCTTTTCTAATTTCATTTTCTTATTGCATAGTTGATGAGAATTCTTACCTGGGCTTTTAAAAATATTTTAATGTCATAGTTTGCATAGGCTATTAGAATAGGATTATAAATGGTTGTACAGTAAGACGTTTTATGTTGTCTTAGTCTTAAAGTGTATTATTTCTAATCGAAATAAAATAAAATAAATGATAGGTTTATTACAATACGGATTGTGAAATGCTGGTTAACAATAAGGATAACATATCAAAATATTGTTGCAGACTTATGTTATAAATTCTGTCATTGGTACCTATAATAGGCTAATGGTGCTAACTTTTGAAATAAAATTTGTAGTCAGTCATTCGGACTTTGGTGAGACTTTTAATAGTTATAATAAATAGCAACAACAACAAATAAAAACGGACCAAATTTAAAAATATTACAAAATGTCAAAATCTATTATGGTATTATAGTTCAATTTGGGAATAATGCACCGTATTATTTACATGTTAGATAGAAACAATGCAGTTAGTATTAAATATTCTCAAGACTACATCATTAAATCTGAATTAACGTAACTTAACTAATAACTTTATGTTTAACGTATATTAAGTCAAACTTTGACCTCGGCTATTGGAAAATATCAACGGCAACATATTCCATAATCTAATTCAATTAAAATAGTTAAACATATTCATAAAGCTTTTGGAACATTATATGATCCAAATGAAAAAGCTGTTAAAAACAAATTTAATCGGGTATTGGAAAAAAATCATTGTCTCTCGGCAATGGTGAAAATATCACAAATTCTAACGGGTGAAGAAATATCCAGAAATTTAGATGTTCTTCCTGAAAATTTAAATTGCAGCGACTTGACATTTTTCAAATACACACCCATGACGTCTGTCGATGTTGAGCGGTTATTCTCGGCACACAAAATTCTACTGTCAAATAACCGTAGACCCTTCAAATTTGAAAATAAAAGAAACGTCTTATTGTTTAATGCAATTCTTAAGGTAAATAAAATAAATTCATTTAAAATGTTTTCATTATATTATTAATTAATTAATTAATTAATATTTATTTATTAATACAATGTTTTACATATTTATGTTAAAAAGGGGAGTGACGTCTAAGGGGTTCAATTTGGGCAATATATTATACACGTGCATTCATGGTTGCCTATGTGTGTATAGTAAGTAAACATTGTGAATGTGAATCCATTTCACCTATCCACCACCATAGCATGAGTGCAGGACTGATTTTGTTGCGTTTCGCCTCGTTATCGTACATTACGCCGTCGCGTCGGCCACCACCGCCACAGATATCTAATATTATTATTTCCATAATATTAACACGTCACGTATTTATGGGCATTTTAAATTTTCGAGTTATAGATTCTGAGTAGAGCGAAGAAGTTTATGGTTTTACAAAGATGTTTATTTTTTGTTTGTTTTGTAGACAACATTTCTACCAGATAACTTGCTCTGATTTTTACGTATAACACCTTTTCTGGAAGGAAATCGGTGTGAGGAGGTACTTTAAAGAGGTAATTTTTCTCGAGACTTTTCTCATGAAATGTGAAAAACGGTAAAATGTACGAAATATATTACTAAAATGTTACAATTTTTTTTTTCAGTGCACAACTTTTCTACTAGCTATTTTGCTCCAATTTATTATGATAGTAATATTTCTAAAAGGAAATTTGACTGGAGAGGTACTTTAGGGAAGTCATTTTTCGATTTTTCCAAAAGATTTCCCAGTAAAAGTGACAAAACCGGGAAAAACGTAGAATAAACGAGAAAATCAGTACTGTATGAAACAAATATTATTAAAGAAAATATATAGTATGCTTATTTAATAATTTTACCATAATATGACATATACAAGTATATTGATGACATAGCATCACTATCAACTGAGCACCACTCAGAATCGTTTTTAGTAAGAAATGGTTTATCGTTGCTTACAGATACAAAGCTGCACCCGTACCTACATTATCGTAGGACAGCTTTTTTTTTATTTGACCGCAAAGTACCACTTATAATGAACCTCCTTTTAAATTTTCAAGTATTTCTATTTGGTCTAACAGTTTTATCCACAGGGTGATTTTTCAATTTGCCGATACCCAAGATTATTGGATATTGTAGCTCTTCGTAAGTCCTGTGCGTCTCGGACACATGTTTCATTATTTCGATGATGAAGCACGATATCTCTAGGTGGTATATTTTTTCCAATAATAACAATAGCTACTTTGTCGATTGTCGGTGAATTAAATCTTCTCGGGCAGGGGGAAGACAGATATCATTTCAATATCAAAATGGTTAATCAAGTAACAGGTATGTATAAAATATTAAATAATTAATTTTTAAAATAGTTGATAATATATAATGCCTGTTTAATTATTTTAACATAATATGATATATATATTGTTAAAAAAGCACCACTATCAATTGAACTCCGCTCAGATTGGTTTTTTTCGTTATAAATGGTTAATCGTTGCTAACAGATATACATATACACCTATAAGAGTGGCTGCACCAGTACTAACTATCTTAGGACGTCTTTTATCAGTTTTGTTAGATTTCATGTCGATAAAATCGATTTGACCGCACAGAATGCATCAAAAATTGACACAGGCTCTACAAGTTATAACATATAATAAAAACTATACGCTCATACTAAAAACTAAAAAAAACATTGTGTGTGTGTATGTGTTTGTATGTGTATAATTGAAGGCACCGGTGCGATAACAAGATACGTTCAAATTTACAATTTTTCAGGAAACAAAAAACATTTTTTTTTTTTATATGCATTAGTAAAATTTTAAAATTTTGAAGTATTTTAATATTGGTTGATAAATGTATCAACTATTTCATATAATTATATGAATAGCACATTTTAATTATTTAATAAAAGAAATAAAAT